CTACCAGCTTCCCACAACCAGTGGAACGGAAGTTGCCTTCAGCAGTTGTGGGTGCTCCGTCACTGGAGGTTTTTAAGAAGAGATGGGACAAACATTTGTCTGAAATGGTCTTGGGCCTCCTGCTTCATCAGGGGGTTGGACTAGAAGACCTCCAAGCTCTCAAAGGGTCACCACCTCCAATATGCACTACATAAGCATGACAAAATAAATAAATAAATATATGACACAGAGAAACAACACAGTCTAGTTCGGGTGTATACATGGACAAATGAGAGGCTTTATTACAGGCTGACCCAACATGTAGCAAGTAACAGCTAAAAGCCCAGTGCCCTTCAAGGTCCAGTGACTAGGCATTGGGGAAGAGAATTGGGGCTGGTACATGACACCGAGGCCATGTTCCTTCAAGAGAGGCTTATCCCAAAGTCTTTCACCATTTCTCCTCTGTCTACAATCCCTCCCGATCCCTACCAGCACTCCCCAAGGTCAAAGGACCCCGTGCAATCACCCTATCACTCCCATTCAGAGATTCTTTCCGATTCCCGATCAATTCTGCATCAGCCCCAAGCCTGGGCCTGCCTCTGAGGCATCCCATGATTCATTTAATGACTGCATCAGGGAGAGAAGGTATGGGGGTTCATTAAGTGGGGCAATCCTAACAATCATCACAACCTGCTACTGTAATGGCTCCTTATGGTCGTAGGACAAGGACTATCTGTAATTTGATTCTTGTCTCTGACCAGCTCTTCCTGGGTGACTCTTCTGGGCAATGGGAAGCCCAGTCCACCATCACGATGGGCAACCTCTTCAGCACTACAGGAGACGAGCTCATCGCTCCTTGGATGGCAGCAGGAGAGGGAGGCCTCTTTGAGGAAGGCTTTCAGTGACCAGGAGTTTTCTTTGATTAATGTTTCTAGTTCTTTGAAGTAATGTCACAAGTTCTCCATGAGGAATGTAGAGTGTGGTAAGAACTGCCAAGGACAAAAATTCTCCTTTATCTCACATAGAATTGAACTTTAGTAACTTGCAAATTTTTTATAATGTAACAACCGGAGACTTGATTCACCTCCCAGCATCTTCTGCCCCATTTATCAGTTGGCCTGAATGTTAGGAGGCTAAATTGATGGGGATCTTAGGTTTCCAAGACCTGAGAACATAAGATAGAGAGGGGCATGTTTTGCTTGTCCCAAACACGACCATATCTTCTCTTCCACTATTTTCTTTACTTTTAACTTCAGTGGAGCCAAAGAAAGAGAAACGGTATTTGCCAGGGTTTTTTGTTGGTTTTTGCAATTACATCTCCAGGGACTGAGACCAAATGTTGGATCAACCTGGTGCCTGAGGAGATGATCCATCCACATGCCCACAACTGCTGCTCCTGCCAATGGGCTACGTAGGCCTGCAGAGGCTCCGGCCCTGCAAGATCAAGACTTGATTGTCTTCAGGGCCAGCAATACTGCAGGGAGAGATCTTCAGCTCCCCTCCCCTTCCCCTTCCCTCTGGTGATCTACTTAGAAGGTCTGCTAAAGTCTATGGAGATTCTCCGTCATCCAGGTCATGGTTGTCCCAAAGGTGCTTTTTCAAGAGGCAACTGGACTTTCTTTGTTTTACCTTGAATATGTTTCGCTTCTCATCCAAGAAGCTTCTTCAGCTCGTGGTCTGCTATGCCTTCTGGGAACCCCCAAAGCAGCCTGGAGCTTCTCCAAGAGGGCCAGGCTTAAAAACCAAAGAACCTGAACAGCAGAGAAGGGCTGAGCTTGGATTCCAGGCAAGGATCTTGCTTGGGCTGGTCAAGACTAAAAGGACTCCATTCTCATTGAAGGTGCAACACTTGTGCTACACAAAGGGTGCCCTGGAGGATGTATGACACCGGTGGTGGGTTGCCCCCTGTTTGCACTGGTTCTATAGAACCGGTAGTAAAACCGGCGGGAGGCCCCGCCCACTGACCCTGACGTCATGAAAATGCTTCTGCGCATGCACGCGGCCCCGTTACAAACCGGTAGTAAAGGTAACTAGAACCCACCCCTGTATGACACCCATAATCAACAAGGCTGTTTCTGCTTGGTGAGTTTTTTGAGCTCAGCGGCCTTCAGATGCAAAAAGTCACACATCATGTTTACTAGGCTGGTCGTTTGCTAGTTGGTTGTTTCAGTTCCAAGATCTGTAGCCAACATTTTTAATCTCCGAGAAGGGCTTGGTGTTCTCTGAGCTTGCTTGAAAATATTTCATTATCCAACTAGGCAACATCCTCAGTGCTCATGAGATTGGAGTTTGCTTCTTGTTTATATACGGTAGCTTGCTCTGCCAATGTTGCCGATGTTTCATCCTTCATAGTTCCTTGATTATTGTTTTCTGCTTGATTGTTTGTCTGGTGTTTATTTCTGCTTCTCTGAGTGTTGGTTGCTAGGGAGGTTGTGTCTTTTGCTTAGTATTTTTATTGTCTCTTTTGAATGGTGTGTAAATGTGGTTTATCTGTATGTGTCCATTGATGGCTGATTTGTCTGAATGCCAACCTTCAAGGAATTCCCTAGCATTTCTGGATTTAGCTTGGTCTAGCATGCTTACAGTTACTCAGTTGAAGCTGTGGCTGAGTCTCTACCTGTGTTGTGAGATTAAGGAGTTTTTATTGTGTCTACTGACTGCTATTTGGTATTCATGTTTGTGTTCTGCTAGCTTTTTGCTTGTCTGTTCTCCATAGTGGCTTTTTCAGTCCTTACACTGTATGTTGTAGATGACTTCTCTTTTCCTACCACTGTGAGACCAGAGCCACCCACTTCTTTTGAAGTTCTTCCAAACTTCTGCTGAAGAGGGGCTTGGTGCAGGAACGGCCCATAGATTAGCATAGAGCAAGACCTATACTGTGTTACAGGAAAGGTTTCCTGCAGCTCCAAGAAAATTTCTATCTCTTTTTCTGCTTTGATTGACAGGTGCTAGATCTTCAGTGAAGCTGGTGGCCAAAGTAGTTGGTGCAACTCTGAATATCTGAATGATGGGCAATTTGACATATTTTTGGCTTTCCTTCTTTGAGGTGCAAGGCTTCCCAGAGCTGGAGGCTTATTATATGTGGTTCTCAGTACTAGTTTGCACTTGCTATGGGGCTATTATTGCTGAGAACTGTAGCATTTTACTAGTCATTGTACTAAAACCAGCTCTCCACAAGCCCATGTACTACTTCCTCTGCATGCTATCTGCTACCGAATTAGTAACATCCACTTCTACATTGCCCAAGTTGCTTTCCCTCTTCTGGTTCCAGGCTGGGGAGATCCAGGTTGACAGCTGCCTTGCCCAGATGTTCTTCATCCATGCTTCAGGCATGGTAGGATCAGCAGTGCTGTTGGCCATGGCCGTAGATAGTTATGTGGCCATCTGCTTCCCTCTCAGATTCTTTCTTCACCGGCTCCGTAGCTGCCAAGATGGGGATGGCAGCTGTTGTCAGAGGAATTCTGCTGATGTGCCCATGTCCTTTCCTGATCAAAAGGTTGTCTGTCGGACTAATGTTTATCCACCATACCTACTGTGAGCACATGGCTGTGGTGAGGTTGGCCTGTGGAAACACCAGGATCAACAGCCTTTATGGGCCAAGTGTGGCCTTGATTGTCATTATGGGGGACCTTCTAGGCATTGGCCTCTCTTCATTGTTCATGCAGTGCTACGCCTTTCCTCCAGTGAGGCCAGATTCAAGGCCTTCGGCACTTGTGGTTCCCACCTGTCATCACAATAACAAAAAGCCCAGCACTTCTCCTTTCTTACCCGTTTTGGCCACAACGTGGCTCCCCATGTTCATATCCTGCTGGCCAACCTTTATCTTCTGGTTCCTCCTATGTTGAATCCCATTATATATGGAGTGAGAACCAAGATTTGGGAACAGGTCTTTAGTGTTCCTCCCAAACAAGGTCATTGTCGAACCTAGAACTGTCTGAATTTGCTCCCCAAATCTCCTTCTCCCTCTTCTCATCTTAGCTGCAGCTAGACAATGTGATCGGTTGGGGACCCAGTGTTTGTAGGCTGCCATGGTGCCTCAGCTACACGGTGGACTCAGGCTCCTTTTCTAAAGTCCACCAGGGTACATAGGCAAGAAATGGAGAACCTGCTTTAGCTATCAGTGATGTCAAAATGTACAATCACCAGATTTAGAACTCAATTTTCTCCAGTCACCTAGCTTGCTTATACCAGAAATGATTGTTCTTTGTGCCTTGGCTTCTTGGACCTCATGCTGACTTCGTGCTTTTGACCTATGGACTGGTATTGACCCCTTCGACTTCATGTGGAGCTCCTCATGCTTTGGACCCATAGACTTCTATGGACTTTCTCAGGCTGTGTTAACTTCATGATTTTGTCTACTTACTGGACTTTGGATTGTTATTTTCAGGCGTCAAGACCTCCTCCCCAGAAAGCTCCCCAGCTTGTCCCATTTCTACTTTCTATTGCATCTGCAAATCCTTTCCTTGATTACCTTCCAATGGGTGGAAACTAATCAAGGAGAGAACCGAGCTAGAACTAGGGAGAAATTTCTTCCTAAGAGAAGAACTAACCAGTGAAATGGCTTGCCTCCAGAAGTGCAAGAGGTTGCACAGCCTTTTATCCAGAACAGTACGGGGGCTCCTGCTTGTGCAGGGGGTTGGACTAGAAGCCCTCCAAGGTCCCTCCCAACTCTGTTAATGTTATCCTTAGCCCTTCCACTCCTTCTTCCCAAGGCCCTCATCACAGCACCCACGGCTCATTTTTCCCCTAAAGCCACCAAATCAGGTCTGCCAAGAGGTATTTTTGCACCCATTTCCTAGCTGTTCCCAATGTTGAGGAATGCGCCTGCCGTTAACGAAAGGACAGCATTCAAATCACACCAGCCTGTTTATTGATACAAAGAAAGTACAAATAGTCTTTAGAACTTCTGGAACTGTTTTTTGGTGCCAGCAGCCTTGGTCACCTTGAGGACGTTGAACCGGACGGTCTTGCTGAGGGGGCGACACTCTCCCACCGTCACGATATCCCCAATCTGCACATCCCTGGGAGGGGGAGAAGAAGAAAGAGATTTAGACTTGCCAACAAGATATGGAAGCATGCTTGTAAGCAGTTGACGCCTCAAGCTGCCCAATCTGAAAGTAGCTGCCTGCAAGTCAAATGCAGCTCATTGGTGCTGAAGAGGCTGAGCTGGAAGGTGGGGTTAAAGGTGTCATTAGTTTAAGACTCATTGCATTGTCACAAAAGAACTAAATCCCGCCTCCCTTGAATTCTGTTGACCCTTGATGTTATCCATTCAGCCGTGTCAGACTCTTGATGATTCTCCGCATCTGCTGATCTTGCACTGCTTCTTTGAGTTGTTCTATGCTCTGGCTGGTGTCAGCTGTGATGATATCCAGTCCAATAGTACCACAAAAAGTGATGAGCTGAAAGGCGGATTTGCAACTGCAGGACCAGAACACTCATCACCAACACATGGTGGACAGGCAAGGCCAATCCCTTTGTGCCTTATATGCAATGATTGCCAAATTGCCAGAAGTTTTGGGGCCGTGATAAGCCAAAGCAGAGCAAGCTCTTTGGTTCAGTGAGTGCCAGATTGGCGTTTTCAGCAATGCCCCGTTCACTCTAGGGCTCTGCAGACCATCGTGAGATTATACATCATCACCAAAAGGCTTGCTGTTGGCCAGAGATATCCACCCTGGGCAACTTTAAGACCTGTGAACTTCAACTCCCAGAATTCCCCACCAGCCATAGCTAGCTAGGGAGTTCTGGGAACAGAAATCCACAAGCCTTAAAGCTGCAAAATGGGATGCCATAAAAATGCAGGCTGCCACTGCCCTAACTTCCATGGCAGGGGGCCACGCTGCCCGGGTTCCAAATTTTACAACATATCTCAAAGCGTAACAATTTTTGTCTTTCTGCACACAGGACCAAAAGATGCATGCTAATTATACAACCCGACCTGGGAAAAGCTACCCTGAGCCCTCACGCAATGCAAAATGGAGACGTCTGCAAGGACCCCACAAGGCAACCAGGTCACCAGCCCGTTGCAAGCCCTCTGGGAGTCTCTTCTGGCATTTCCTCACCTGAAGCAGGGAGACAGGTGCACCGACATGTTCTTGTGTCGCTTCTCAAAGCGGTTGTATTTGCGGATGTAGTGCAGGTAATCCCTGCGGATGACGATGGTGCGCTGCATCTTCATCTTGGTGACAACCCCTGGGGGGAGGGGAGAGAGAGAAGTCCAGTGAAGGCCACCAACCCTACAGAGGTCCATCCGGGGCTTCAGGGTGGATAGGAAGGGCCCCGAGGCTAGACAGGGCATCAGTTTTGCCAAAGGGCAGCGTCGACAGCACCCACTCAGGGGCTCCGCAGACCATCGTGAGAAAAGCATCCCTTGCCACAGCAACCTCAGAGTTGGGGGGGGGGGGAGAGAGCCGAAGCAGAGTCTGGTAACCCTCTGGGATGTCCCAAAGGGGCTTTTTCCAAAAGATGAATGGACATTGTTTTTTTTCCCCTTTGAAAACATTTCGCTTCTCATCCAAGGAGCGTCTTCAGTTCTGGCTGAAGGGGGGGCATGGAAAGATTTATATTCTTTGCAGTCATCTGGTCGTTAGCTGTGATAAGTGGTTGAGGCTGCTTGGGGGTCCAAATCACTCTCTGATTCAGGTGACCCTGAGGACACAGATAAACCCCCAAGCGGCCTCAAGGCCTCTCAGACCCCCTCAGAAAGAGCGCTAAGGGCCAGAGAACTATTGCGAGGAATAAAAATCCTTCCGGGGGGGGGGGGAAGCATCTTCGGGCCAACCAGGACCTGGACCTCAATAGGAGTCTCCACAAGGCCTCCAACCCTCCCAGGAGAAGGAAAGAGGGGCAGAATCCCGGGGGGGGGGGGCGGGGGGTCTTAGCAGGGCGGCGTGTGGTGCCCCCCTCCCTCCTTGCCTGCCTGCCTACCGGAGAGGATGCGGCCCCGGATGGAGACGTTGCCGGTGAAGGGGCACTTCTTGTCGATGTAGGAGCCCTCGATGGCCTGGAGGGAGAGAGGAGACCCCTGGCGTGAGCCCCGCGGCCCTCCCCACAGCCCGCCGCCCCCCTCCCGCCGCCCGCGGGCACCTCCTTGGGGGTCTTGAAGCCCAGGCCGATGTTCTTGTAGTAGCGGGGCAGCTTCTCCTTGCCGGCGTCGCCCAGCAGCACCCGCTTCTTGTTCTGGAAGATGGTGGGCTGCTTCTGGTAGGCCCGCTCCGTCTGCAGGGGAACCACAGCGCGCTCAGCCGGGAGCCACGACCGCCCCGCCGCCCAAAGCCCGGGCCTACAGCCCCGGCCGAAGCCCCGGCCCGCGGGGGACCCACCTGCGTGTCCGCCATCTTGGCCGCGCGGAACGAAAAGAGACCGCGCGCGCGGCACGCCGGGAGGTTTATCTTCGCTGGGGGAAGTGACGCAATGCGCCGCACCTCTTCCGCCGGCCGTTCGGACCTCCGCTCGCGGCCATTGGCCTGGAGACGGGAGGGGGCGTGTCTCCATGATCTCGGGTGGGGGGGCGTGCCTGGGGGAAAAGGAGAGCCGCCTAAGCTGGGAAGGGCATGTGGACTTCAACTCCCAGAATTCTCCGCCAGCTTTGCAGGGAGAGGGGCCCAGAACGGTTTCCCCGGATGGGTGGGGAGAAAGCATAGGGAGGAGGAAGAAGGGGGGCTCACGGGGATTGTCACGCCGGGGTGAGAGACGCAAGCCCTGAAGGCCTCGGCCTGCAGCCCCAGAAGTAGTAGCCGTAGTCCGGTCAATATAAGGCCAAGTAAGAGGAGGAAGAGGCGGGCCTTCCTCCGACCATGAGGCCCTCCTATTGGTCGCCTCCTCGCGGCCCGGAAAGGGGGCAAGATGGCTGCTCTCCTGAGGCCGATGAGGGGAGGCCGCTTGTGGCGCTGAGGAGCCTCTCAGGCCGAGGCTGGGCCGCCTCTCTCAAGGCCCGGCCCGGACACACACACACACACACCACCACCACCACCACGGCTCTTTGGACCCAGCGCCCAGTGCGGCCCCCGCAACACCCACAATAAATTTCCGAAGATGTGTGTGGGGGGGGGGGGGGTTGTCTCAAGCACGTTTTGCTCTCGGGCGTCGTTTTCAAAACACACCAGTTGAGGCGGGGCTTCTTCAACCCCCATAATTCCCTGGGCAACCCATGCTGGCTGGGGAATTCTGGGAGTTGGAGTCCACGGGTCGTCCCAAAGGTGCTTTTTTAGGCGGCAACTGGACTTCCTTGTTTTTTCTTTTGAAGACATTTCGCTTCCCATCTAAGAAGCTTCTTCAGCTCTGACTGGATGGTGGGGAATGGAAGGATTTATGCTCCTTGACAGACAGCCGATCATTGGCATCCTTTGAGAGAGAGTGGTTGAGGCCACTTGGAGGTTCATCTGTGTCCTTCCATTCCTCCTCCTCCTATCAGAGCTGAAGAAGCTTCTTGGATGAGAAGCAAAACGTTAAAAGAAAAAGTCCAGTTGCTGCCTGAAAAATCACCTTTGGGACAACCATGACCTGAGAGGACTGAGAATCTCTACAGACTTTAAATCCACAGGTCTTTTTTAAAAAATTGACAAACTTATACAAAATATTTTATAGATGCCATTTTTCCACTGGTAAGACTAGCAAAGATGTTTCAAAACATGTCTGCCAAATGCTGGAAATGTAATCTGACACCTGGCACGTATTATCATATGTGGTGGACATGTGTCCACAAAGAAATATTGGACAAAAATACATACATGGTTAGAAAAAATGTTAAAGCTGCATATAGATTATAAGGCAGAAATATTTTTGTTAGGTATAATACCAGGAAATTATGATAAGGGGAATTTGTATTTAATACTACATGTATTGACAGCAGCAAGGATTGTATATACATAGTATTGGAAAAATGGGGAAACAGAGAGAAGATGTAATTAAAAAAATATTAGATTGTGCAGAAATGGACAGATAAAGATAAAAGAAAAAAGATGCAGAATATTTTCAAACATGGGACTTATTTTACAAATGGTTGGATAATAGAGGTAGAAATTAGGAATGGGGACAGTATTACTATGTAAGCAAATTGACCCAGACAATACAGATTGCTTGTTCACCAAGCAGTTAATGTATGTTAAATGAAAATGTATAAACTCTTAAATAAAAAAAAGTTGACAAGCCCTGCCTCACAGTGTTATTTTACTTCTTAAATTTAAATGCCTCCCAATTCTGGGAGTGCAATTCTGGGCACTCTCAACAGTATAAAAACAATCCAAAACGAACCTTAAAAGATGAAAAGCCTTCAATATTAAGAATGAAAATATTAAAATTAACCAGGAACTAGATAAGAAAGGACCAGTGCATAAACAGGGTGTGGATGAGATCTTCTGCTAAGCCACTAACCATCTTCAAAGCAGTTATTTTTCTGATCCTTTTCATTTCAAAAGCAACGATGGATCGGCTATGGTTGCTGTGTTTGTGAAGTTCATGCTAAGCAAACAAAATACATTTAATTTTTATTTTTAGCTGTTTAACTATTTGTATATTACCCAGAGTTGCTCTAGGACGGAGAGGGGCAATCTCTAAAATTGATCTATAAATAAATATTTAAATGATTTATGGAGTCCTAAACTTACAATATCAAATGGGCTTGATTTGATTTCTAAAACTGCCCATCTCAAGATGTGATTCTTGTGTAAAAAGTTGTGTAGAAAGTCCTTGTGAAGTCCTTCATGAAAGGCCCTTCCTCCTAAGGACAATGGTGACCACTTGGTCTCTGATCTCCTTGGTCTTCACTCCATAGACAATGGGGTTCAGCATGGGAGGAAAGAGGAGGTAGAAGTTGGCCAGGAGAATGTGCACATGAGGTAACACATGATGGCCAAATCTGTGTGTCAGGATGGTGAAGAGAGCCGGCGTGTAAGACACCAGGATGACCACCACGTGAGCTGCACAGGTGCTGAAGGCTTTGTAGCGGGCATCTCGTGAGGGCAGGGCCAGGACTGCCCTGGTAATCATGCAGTAGGAAAAGGTGATAAACAGCAGATCAGCCCCAACCACCAGCAGGGCCACCAGAAGCCCATAGACCACGTTGGGCAGGATGCTTGAGCAAGCCAGTTTCACCACCGCCATATGCTCACAATAGGTGTGAGCGATGATGTTGGTCTTGCAATATGAAAGGCGTGCCGCTAAGAAGGGGATTGGGGCGATGAAGATGGTGCCTCTCAGGACCACCACGATGCCAATCTTGGTCAGCAAGGGGGTGGTTAGGATGGAATCGTATCTCAGGGGGTTGCAGATGGCCACGAAACGGTCAAAGGCCATGGCCACCAACACACTGGACTCCATGACCGAGAAGGCGTGGATGAAGAACATCTGGGCCAGGCAGGCCGTGGAACTGATTTCTCCAGCTCGGAACCAGACGATGCAAAGCATCTTGGGCAGGGTGGAGGTGGACAGGACCAGGTCTATGGTGGCCAGCATGCAGAGGAAGAGGTACATGGGCTTGTGAAGTCTCTGCTCAGTGGTGATCACGTACAACATGGTGCTATTCCCCAGCAGTGTCACAACGTACATGGAGGAGAGCGGGATGGAGATCCAGTGGTAAAGGGCTTCCAGGCCCGGAATCCCCAGCAGGATGAAGGAGGAGGGAGTTCCATGGCTCCCGTTAAGCGCAAACATCACTTTGGTGAGTCATGGCGCACGCTGGATGCACAGACAGCTTCATCATCTGCTGCAGGGAGGGAGAACCACAAAGCAGGAGGGGGTGAACTTTGCTGCACCCACCTGCCCCATCAGAATATAGAACCATAGTTGGAAGTGACCTTGGAGGGCTTCTGGTCCAACCCCCTGCTCAAGGCAGGAGACCCTACACCATCCCAGACAAATGGCCGTGGAGTCTACTTTTGAAAACCTCCAGTGTTGGAGCAACCACCACTTCTGGAGGCAACTTCCGTGCCACTTGTCCCACTGGTGCTTTTTCCAAGAGGCAACTGGGCTTTTTTGTTTTTGTTTTTTTCTTTGAAAAAGCTTCTTCAGTTCTGGTTCTCAGCCAAGCCTCTCTTGGATGAGAAGCAAAACATTTTCAAAGAGAAAAAAAAACAATCAATAAAGTCCGGTTGCCTTTTGGAAAAGGCACCTTTGGGGCAACCAGGACCTGGGTGATTGAGAAGCTCCATAGACATCAAGCCATTCCACTGATTAACTGTTTTTACTGACAGTAAATTTCTCCTTAATTTTAGGTTGGATCTCTCTTTAATAAATTTCCATCCGTTGCTTCTTATCCTTCTTCTTCTAGGGAGAATAGGTTGACCCCTTCCCTCTTCTCTGCTGGACGACTGCTATCCTGTCCCGTCCCCCGATCCTTCGTTAGACTAGACTTCCCCAGTCCCTGCAGCCATTCCTCATACATTTTTGCCTCCAGTCCCCTAGTCATCGTTGTTGCTCTGCTCTGCTGGTTATCCCTAAGGTGGGCCTTCGGAGGTTTAATCTCCACATGAATCCCTTTCAGGTGGACTTCACAGCAAACTCAGCCTGCCCTTCATGGATTATAGGCCTTTTAATGGGTGGAGGATATTTCAGAAAATTTTGTGAGTCCCCTTCGCCTCCCCCCCCCCCCAAAAAACCCCACGATCTGAAGAAGCTGTATCTTTGATTAGAGAAGGAAAGGTTTCCCCACCCAAAATCAATATTTTAAATTTTTCCTCATCAGGTGATTCCAAATGCTGGGGGGGGAGGGGTGCTTTCAGGGTTCCAGAGTGGAAACTCACAAAGCCTTTGGGCTCACAAGGCTCTGCACAAACTGTTGGGGCCCATTGACAATCCAGGGAAGCCCCATGCTCTGCCCCATGGCAGGCGTGGGTAAAGGCAGAAAGTCATTGGCGGAGGCCGAAGCTTGGGGGCCAAACCTCTGCTGTATGCCCTCTGCATTGCTTTCTGGACAGCAGTAATATGCAAGCCACGGCTCCAGTCTTTACACCTTCTTTAAACCTAGTTCTCGACTTATAACAGTTCGTTTAGTGACCACAGCACCACAGCACCACAGTTACCGCAGCACTGAAAAAAGTGACTTATGATAGTTTTTCACACTTAGAGCATCCAGGTGGTCACGTGAACAAAATTCAAACACTTGGCAACTGACTCCTATTTATGACGGTCGCAGTGTCCCGGGGTCAGGTGGTCAGGTGGTCCCCTTTTGCGCCCTTACGACAAGCAAAGTCAACGGAGAAACCAGAATCACGGGGTGACTACGTTTTGACTAACTTAACAACTGCATGATTCACAACAACCGTGGCAGCAGAGGTCGCAAAATGGGGCAAAATTCACTTCACAAATATCTTTTTTAGCAACAGAAACTTCAGGCTCAATTATGGTCGTAAGCTGAGGACTGCCCGTATTTAACACCCATGAAAAACTGCAGGATAAAAAAATCGAAACGGTGGGCAATAGCTAACTCTTTCTTTTCCTCCAAGGACCGACTGGAACTGCTTTAAAGCTGGCAACAGGAGGGCATTTAGAGGTGTCAGTTCAAGGGGAAAAGGGAAGTCCAAAAAAACAGCCTTGAAGTGGGGGGGGCTTCAGGGGGAGGAAGGGGACAGATTCACACCAGCTTCTCCATTTCTCTGAACTAACCAGCCACCCCACTGAAGCCTGGCCAGTCTGTAGCTCTGCTGCACCCAGTACCCTGGTGGTCGCAAGAGCGAGGCGCTGGCTATGATGGCACTCTGTGATGCTTAACTGGAACACTCACAGACCCTGCCTCACTCACCCCAGGTTGTGGGCAGCCGGTCGTGGCAGCCAGCCCTGCCCCAAGCAGTAGATGGAAGAATGAGCTGCTCCTTTGGGCTCCTCTCAAGGCTTGAGGGCAAGAAGCCGAGAAGGGAGCCTTTATTTATCTGTGTTGCCCCCATCGGTGCTGGACCATGTTCGGAGAGCATCCAGGATCTAGGCACCTCCTTGGAGGTTCCTCTCTGGATCAATCGCTGAGCCACTGTTTTCTCTCTCCTTCCCTTGGGCACCAGATTGTCCAGGGAGAAGGGGTGGGCTCCTGTTCTCTGGGCTGCCGTGTGCCCCCTCCCTCCCTGGTCTGGGATGGGCCACCTGCAGCCCAGGGCCTTTGAGATTCTCAGGGCTCTGTGGTGTGGCTCTGGCACTCCCTCTGACCCACAGAGCAGAGCTTCAGGCCGTTGCGAAGTAGGAATTGTGTTAAAGCTCCAATGGGTAGATCCCACTGAAAACAGAAGGACCCTCACACGCACACTAAAAGAATGCCCATTCCAATAGAGTACAGAGGAGGAGGAAGAACCTTGGAGGTCTTCTCAGAATAACAGAGTTGGAAGAGATCTTGGAGGTCTTCTAGTCCAACCCCCTGCTCAGACAGGAAACCCTATACCATTCCAGACAAATGGTAGTCCAGTCTCTTCTTGAAAGCCTCCACCGATGGAGCACTCAAAACTTCTGGTGGCAATCGGTTCCACTGGTGAATTGTCCTCACTGTCAGGAGATTCCTCCTTAGTTCCAAGTTGTTTCTCCCTTTGATTAGTTTCCATCCATTGCTTCTTGTCCTGCCTTCTGGTGCTTTGAAAATAGGTAGACCCTCTCTTCTTTGGGGCAGCCCTGTAGATATTGGAACTGATCTGATTTGGGTCCGTCTGCATTCCTCATGGATTGTTGGATGCTCCCTGACCATATTTCCTTCTTCGGATCCTAAACCTGTCCAAATAGATCTATTACTCCAGCTTGATTGAGGTCTTCACCCTGACCCAGGGCATCCCAGTTCATTGCAAAGCCTTCGCCGTACTTAGGCTTAAAACCGGACCATGTCTCTGATTCTTATTTTTAGTGTAATTTTTTAAACATTACAATTAAAAGGATATAAACTAATACAAACAAAAAAAAGAATAAAAGCAAACAATAGAAAGTGCCGAAAAGGAATAAAAATATAAAAGAAAGAATAGTGTTATTTCTAAAAAAGAAATTCTATAAAGAAATGACTTCCTTCTTCATTGCAACTAATGTAAGCAGTTTTAGCAACCTATCACCTTTGCTTGACTCTCTTCTTCCTGAATCATTGGGACTTTGGAACCAGGTCATAAGTACCCCCAGGGAGGTCCGTCATAACTTTGAATCGGTTGTAAGTCGAAGACTATTTGTATCTCTCTACTGATAATATGTATTTTTTTTCCTGGCCTCTATCCGATCAACTTAATAACTTTGGTTCTTTTCCGTGTCTCATGAAATGGGCTCTGAAGTTGCTCCTTTGGCAGCTCTTATGATCTGTCACAGCTTATCTTGCCTTTCCGCTTGCGAAGGCACCAACCTCTGGGATTACGGCAGAGCGTCATGTCTTTCGAAGGAGTCACCTCAAGAGAGCTGGGAGAGATTGTTCTACCTACTTTTTCTCATGGCCAATTTTTGGTGTTAATCCGGTCTACTTACAGCTGAATGATCCATTTCCTTGATCCATCAGCAGTTTTCAATACCCTCAATCCTTCTGGACTGGCTACATGGCCTCTAATATCTCCAGCCAAGAATACCGAATGACTCAGAAAAGAGAATCTATGTTTGAATGGAAGGGAACTTCCTTATGACTTGCCCAGCAAAACACTTTTCTGGTGTTCCGGAGATTGCGTTCAATAAACTATATCTTGAATGTTCAGTCCCAGTAGATGGTGTCCATCTGAACCCACTGGCAGGAGACCATGGACAGACGCAACGATGTGCAAAGACTGCAGGAGACCAAAGGAAGACTGGTTGATAAAAGTAAGCTTCCATGATCCATGTGAGCTTCCAGGATCAAGAGCACTCACTGGTTTGGAAACAGCCTTCCCTATTACGGCAGCCCTCCCTCTACCTCCAAGAGGAATGTAGACTGAAATGTAAATAAAACATTTGTTAAAGTGTGTGGGTGTACATGCCTTTGCATCATTCTTGATTCCTGGTGACTACCTAGAGGAGTAACAAGTGGTTGGCCATTGCCTCCTTTCTGGGCTGAGAGGGAAGGACTGGCCCAAAGTCACCCATCCAGCTTCATACCTGAGGAAGAACTAGAACTCTTGGTCTCCTGGTTTCTGGGCTGGCGTCTCTTAGTAGATACTAAGAGAGAAGAAATGGCATCCAAGAAGTGGATGTGGTAGGAACAGAGCCTAGAATTCAGGAAAGGTCCACCGAGCTCCATCACTCTATTTCCAGAAGCATTTTTTTCCACGTCAAAGGAGGAGGCAGCCAAGGAATCTAGTCTACTTCAAGGAACAAGCTGCAGCCAAGGAGACAATGCTAGCCTCTTCCCTTGTGGGCCACTCATCCTTTTCTAGAAGCTGGAAGCCACATCTCTCCAGGTGACCAGGCCATTTACAAACCCTGTCATCCCAGCTATCTTGCATTGGGAAGGTCCAGGAGCTGAACCTGGATCCTTCTGCAGGCGAAGTAGGGAGTCTCCTGCAGCTGAGGCTCCATCCTAAGGGTTTTCTTGCTGCCTGGAGGTCTGGGCCCCAGATGTGGGAATGGGCTCAAAATTGTCCTGGTACCAGCTCCTTCCAATTCATCCTAAAGTCTGAGGTGGATGGTAGAACTTTCTAGAGCAGAAGTCCAAGAGAGAAAGTATAAAGATATATTATTTCTTCTATTCTCTGAAGAAAAAAGAAGTTTTAGAAGATGTCTCCTGGGATCTTTGTGGACCTCCCTCAGGAGACGTTGGGGTACACCATGGATGGACATAGGACAGAGATATAGCCTAAAGTCATCAATTGAGATGGGCAGCTGTACAGAAAGAAAGAAAGAAAGAAAGAAAGAAAGAAAGAAAGAAAGAAAGAAAGAAAGGAGGGAGGGAGGGAGGGAGGGAGGGAGGGAGGGAGGGAGGGAGGGAGGGAGCGAGGGAGCGAGGGAGCGAGGGAGCGAGGGATAATAAAGTGGACGCTGAGAGCTGCTCCCTGACCAAAGTGGTGGGTGAGAAATGAAACAAATGCTGGGTGTTATTTATTTATTATTTTATTGCTTTTAAAGTAATGGCAGAGAAACAGAAAAACAACCCACAGATTTTTAAAAAAACATCCTGCTTTGTCAAAGAAGAGGGGGGGAAATATAGAAGATGCTTTTTTGAGGAAAAAATAAGTAAAAAACAACAAAATAAAAAGAGGCATACATAATACAAATAAAACATGTTAGTAGTTACAATTCTATATATAGTTCTTTAATGCAATTATTCATACATAAATACACACACACACACACACTTAGGGCGTGTCAATTTTTTTCAACTTTCAATTTCCAAACCTTGGGGGTGCTCCAAAGTTGTGACCTGCCTTGGGGATTGCAAAGATATTTTGGTTACTTTAATATAATTTAGATGTGCTTGTAAGTAACTACATACATATCATAACTTTTTAAGACTTTGTTTCTTTCATCCCGATGGTGCAACTCTGCTGGGACCTGGTCTTCTCCAAGGGCAGGACTTATAAACCTGGTGGACCCAGAAGCTGCCTTGTCCTCTTGTAACCTCTGCAGCTGGTTGCGTTAGAAGCGCCAGGAGGCCTCCTCCTGACACAGAAGCAGGTAAGGGAAGGGCAGGCGAGGGTATCACAGGGTCTTTGTAGTGCGTGGTTCTCAGGTCAACAACGGGAGCGGGGAGTTGGTGGTTGAGTGGGATCTTGTGAAGCAAGTGGGTTTTGGGGTGAGTTCATGAGAAAGGGGAATCTTCTCACAAAACCCTCTAGCTGGGCTAGAGTCTCCCAGCAGCTGCACAAGATTGTCCTTCCCTTTGTGGGTGAGCGTACGGGAAGGAGCAGAGATGAAATGAGAGCATCCCAACCATGGGCAACCTTGAGTCTCTCTCAGGACAAAGATCTGTCTCTGATGAAGGAGCTTTCGCCCCCGCAAATTGGCCATTCCTCTTCCTCCTTCTCTGCTCCATCTGACATGAGGATTCCCCCCACCACCACCTACCCTTAGCTGTAAGGTGGGTAAACAAACACAGCAAAGGAAGATGGTCCTCAAAGTCCATGGGACCCTTGGACCTTCCGGAGTTTGAGTGTGAAGAGGGAGGGACCTTCCCTTCATTTCCCAGCCTTCGTGTGAAGTGTGTCAGGGAGCAGTGAAGTCTCGTCCTGAGAAGGGCTCTGAAAGGGGGAATCTCTGAGTTCATTTAGCTGCCCGAAGATGATCAATAATTCTATGTAGACACGAACCGAAAGAAAGGTTAAAGAGAGGCATACATAAATAAATCGAATCCCTTATTTCATGTTGGCCCCCAAGGTCTGGATAGGTGCAGTCTCACCAATTCATTTCTGGGGTCTTCCCTGAACTTATGTTTTGCTCAGAGACTCTACCTCATCCCAGGGTGTCCATAGGATGCCCTCCTTCTCTGAGTGTTGAGGGACTAGGTGGCACTAATCGATAGATTAATAGCATGTATCAATACTTCTGCTTCCTTTCAAGAGCTGGAGTGAGATGGATACAATAAAGGGAATTAAAATTAGACAGCATGAATATAAGTTACGAGCATTTGCGGATGACCTGGTTGTTACCTTAACCCAACCGGTACAATCGATTACAGCCTTGATGGATATAACCTGCTTATATGGACAAGTATCTGGTTTTAAAATAAATGTAGCTAAAACAAAAATAATAGCTAAAAATATGGTTAGAAGCCAGAAAGAAGAGATAGAAAGGTTAACAGGATTTGAAGTAGATAAGAAGGTTAAATACCTAGGGGTTTATATTATGACTGCAAATATGAAATTATATCAGCACAATTATGAACTATTATGGCACAAAATACAAAAAGATGGAAAATTGGAAAAAACTACAATTGTCTTTGCTGGGAAGGATAGCCGCTGTAAAAATGAATATTTTACCAAAATTTTTATTTCTTTTTCAAATGATACCTATATTAAAAAAAGATGAAAATTTGAAGGATGGCAGAAGGGCATAAATAAGTTTGTGTGGGCAGGGAAGAAACCTCGAGTTAAACAAAAGATAATGCAAGATATCCGAGAAAGAGGTGGTCTTAAAATGCCCAACTTAAGACTGTACTATGAAGCTGCTGCCCTCTCAGCAATCACAGACTGGATAAATTTAACGGAGGAAAAGATATTGAATATTGAAGGATATGGTTTGGTCTACGGCTGGCATGCTTATTTAGTCTATGACAAGAAAGTAGATAAGGCTTTTAAAGCCATATATTAAGAAATTTTTTTAAAGTCATATATTAAGAAATTCTCTATTACGGGTCTGGAAAAAGTATAAATATAAATTAAGTGATAAGTTACCAATATGGACAGTCCCCAGACATGCGATAGAGAATATAAACTTAGAGCAAAAGCAAGATAAGATTACATATAAGGAACTTCTCTATAAGGAAGGAGTCAGATTACAATTAAAACCAATGGAGCAATTAAGAGAAGAAGGAATTATTAGGACTTGGTTTCAGTATGGACAGCTGCAGGCCAGATGGAGAGAAGATCAAAAAATTGGTATTTTGCAGCAGGATGAGAATTTGATAAAGCAAACAAGAGATAAAGGTCAAATGCATATAAAAAGGTTGTATAATGCACTAGTGGAAATAGATTCAGAAACAGAGTTAGTCAAGGACTGTATGATAAAATGAACCAATAATGATGGAAACATGGGAAAAGATATGGGTCAGAAATGTAAGATTTACACAAGCACAAAATCTAAGGGAGAATTTTTATAAAATGTTTTATAGATGGCATTTAGAGCCCAAAAAATTAGCCTGTATGTATCCAAATTTACAACCTAAGTATTGGCGATGTGAATGTAAAGATGCTACATATTTTCATATATGGTGGACGTGTAAAAAAATTAAGGCTTTTTGGATAAAAATATGGTGGATTATTCAAAACATTTTAAAGAAAAAAATTAAATTTACACCACAGTTCTTTTTGTTGGGAATAGTCATGGATTGTACTGTAATAGAGACTAAGTTGGTTTTGAACTTAATAACGGCTGCCAGGTTACTGGTGGCACAATACTGGAAGAAGGAAGATCCACCCACCATTGAGGAATGGACATTAAAAGTTGTGCATTTGGCAGAAATGGCGAAAATTTCATCATATCTTAAAGACCATTCAAATGAAAGATACATATCGGAATGGAGAAGATGGATCAATTACATACAGAAGAAGTATCCGAATAAGAAGATTCATATAGCATATGAATGAAATAATTTTAAGTAGTTTATGTTTATGTTTGTTTTTTGAATTATAAGGAGTTAAGGATCTAGGGAGAATATGAAATGTAATATATATAGTTCTTTAATGCAATTATTCATACATAAATACACACACACACACATTTAGGGCGTGTCAATTTTTTTCAACTTTCAATTTCCAAACCTTGGGGGTGCTCCAAAGTTGTGACTGCCTTGGGGATTGCAAAGATATTTTAGTTACTTTAATATAATTTAGATGTGCTTGTAAGTAACTACATACATATCATAACTTTTTAAGACTTTGTTTCTTTCATCCCGATGGTGCAACTCTGCTGGGACCTGGTCTTCTCCAAGGGCAGGACTTATAAACCTGGTGGACCCAGAAGCTGCCTTGTCCTCTTGTAACCTCTGCAGCTGGTTGCGTTAGAAGCGCCAGGAGGCCTCCTCCTGACACAGAAGCAGGTAAGGGAAGGGCAGGCGAGGGTATCACAGGGTCTTTGTAGTGCGTGGTTCTCAGGTCAACAACGGGAGCGGGGAGTTGGTGGTTGAGTGGGATCTTGTGAAGCAAGTGGGTTTTGGGGTGAGTTCATGAGAAAGGGGAATCTTCTCACAAAACCCTCTAGCTGGGCTAGAGTCTCCCCAGCAGCTGCACAAGATTGTCCTTCCCTTTGTGGGTGAGCGTACGGGAAGGAGCAGAGATGAAATGAGAGCATCCCAACCATGGGCAACCTTGAGTCTCTCTCAGGACAAAGATCTGTCTCTGATGAAGGAGCTTTCGCCCTCGCAAATTGGCCATTCCTCTTCCTCCTTCTTTGCTCCATCTGACATGAGGATTCCCCCCACCACCACCTACCCTTAGCTGTAAGGTGGGTAAACAAACACAGCAAAGGAAGATGGTCCTCAAAGTCCATGGGACCCTTGGACCTTCCGGAGTTTGAGTGTGAAGAGGGAGGGACCTTCCCTTCATTTCCCAGCCTTCGTGTGAAGTGTGTCAGGGAGCAGTGAAGTCTCGTCCTGAGAAGGGCTCTGAAAGGGGGACTCTCTGAGTTCATTTAGCTGCCCAAAGATGATCAATAATTCTATGTAGACACGAACCGAAAGAAAGGTAAAAGAGAGGCATACATAAATAAATCGAATCCCTTATTTCATGTCGGCCCCCAAGGTCTGGATAGGTGTAGTCTCACCAATTCATTTCTGGGGTCTTCCCTGAACTTATGTTTTGCTCAGAGACTGTACCTCATCCCAGGGTGTCCATAGGATGCCCTCCTTCTCTGAGTGTTGAGGGACTAGGTGGCACTAATCGATAGATTAATAGCATGTGTCAATACTTCTGCTTCCTTTCAAGAGCTATCAGGTGGTAGAACTGGATGGAGCCACCACCAATCATAGCAAGTCAGCCATGAACTGGACCACTTGGCCACCCTTCCTACTTTATCCTTCTTGGGATCCCAGGCCTACAAGATTTTCATGTCTGGATCGCCATCCCCTTCTGCTCCATCTACGTAATCTCCCTTTTGGGGAACATTCTTCTTTTGGGGGTCATCAAGAGTGAGCCAAGCCTCCATGAGCCCATGTACTTGTTCCTCTGCATGGTGGCGGTTGCAGATCTCACCATTTCCACCTCCGCTGTACCCAAAATGCTCAGCATTTTCTGGTTTCAGGACAGCAGCATCCGCGCCAACGCCTGTTTAACCCAAATGTTCTTCATCCATTCTGTATCCACTATGGAATCCGGATTCTTTGCCGCCATGGCCTTTGATCGCTACGTGGCCATATGCAATCCTCTGAGGCACTCTGTCATCTTGACCCACCGGGTCATCGCTATGGTGGGCTTGACAATTTTGGTCCGAGCGACTGTCCTCTTCAGCCCCCACCCCTTTCTCCTCAAGTGGCTCCCCTTTTGCAAAGGCAACACCATCGCTCACACTTACTGTGAGTTCATGTCCCTGGTAAAACTGGCATGTTCCGACACCCGGATTACCAACATTTTCAGCTTGACGATGGCCCTCCTAACGGGAGGCCTGGACTTCCTCTTCATCGTGACGTCCTATATCCTGATCCTCCAGACGGTGTTCAGGCTTCCCGCCAAGGAGGCCCGAATGAAATCTCTCAGCACTTGTGGCTCACACTTCTGTGTGATCTTGATAAGCTACACTCCGGCATTTTTCTCCTTTTTCACTCATCGCTTTGGCCACGGGATCACTCCAGGCGTCCACATCATCATTGCCAACATCTATGTCCTGGTTCCACCCATGATGAATCCCATCATCTATGGAGCAAGGACAAAGAAGATCCGGGAAGTTCTACTTCAGACCTTCTGGATCTCATTTTCAGAAGACCAAAGAAAGGGAAAGATTCCCTCCCTCTTTAGGATTCTTGGAATCCTAAAACAATAATCCCAGGTTACTGTTACTATCCTAGGATTGCTATACGTTGATTAGCAACAGTTGGTTAAAGGTGTAGTGAATTGGAGGCAACCAAGAGTATCAATCTTTATCAGTTCTCAGTGAGAGAGGGGCTGTTTCCCAGGAACTCCTCCCCACCACTGGCAATTTCACTTCTTTCTTTAAGATGCATTTTTACAGCCTCTTTCCTGCAAAGAAATGGAAGGTGGGTGGGATTTATAGATGAGACAGACAGACTGAGCTGTCTGGGTACTGATGCTTTCTTGAAGAACACTTTTCAACCATATCAAGGGAATTTCTCTTCCTTAATTCATTTGCTGTTCTTAACCTGGCAAATTCACAAAAATGTCCTGGGAAGTGAGATAACTTGGGAAAAGGAGAGCGGGGAGATGGTGATGGTTATTACAGTATGTTTTTATTATTGTTGTTGTTTATTGTCTTTCAAAAGACAACTGGACTTCCTTTGTTTTTCTTTGAAGACATTTAGTTTCTCATCCAAGAAGCTTCTTCGCTTCAGAACTGAAGAAAGTTCTTGGAGGAGAATCCAAATGTCTTCAAGAATAAAGAAAGAAAGTCTAGTTGTCCCTTGAAAAAGCACCTTTGGGACAACCCTGACCTGGATGACTGATAATCTCCATAGACATGATTATTTATTAAATTTATGTGCTGTCCCTCTCACAGATAAGGCAACTCTGGGCATTGTTACCACCAGAGCTTCTACTACCGGGCAGATGATTTAGCCCTGAGATGGCCCAAAGCTGTCTCTGCACAATTGTCACTAACTGAAGTTGCCACCGATGTGGCTGGAAGTACCAAGGCCGAGACTGGGGAACGTTCTCCTCGGGATATCACAGTCAAAGGTCCAGTGGGAATTGGCCATAAGGTTATCCTTCCATTGGCCTCTGAGTGTGAACACTCCCCTCTTCTGCAAACAAGTCTTCTAGTGTGCAGAAACGGCAAATCCAGCTTTTCATTGCAGTCCAAGAATCTGCTGTAAATCTGAGGACAGCCAATAAGACAACCTGTTTTATATCCATCCAAAATGATCTTATCCTTATGTGAAAGTACATTAATGAGATTTGGGAAAGTTCTCAGCACAGATGTGTAAATATCTTTAATCTGAACTATTACATCCCATCCTTAATGCTACAGCTAGTTGACTGGCCTCTATGCTGCAAAATGTTTGAGCCTCATAGATCTCCCTGTGGGTAACATTTATGGCTGAAACAGACCCAACGGGGGGGAAAGGACAACGTACTTCAGGCCCCCTTGAACCTAGACCAGTCATTTGTGTTCCAAGGCCCTTCCATGCTTATTGGCTACAATTTTACATTGATGGTCTTGTCTTTGTATTAACAGAGGGATAGGATCAAGATCACGTGAAGTGTTAGTATTGCTTTATACTGCACTGGTAAGGCCACACTTGGAACCCTGCATCCAGTTTTGGTCACCACAATACAAAAAAGGCGTTGCCAGACTTGCAACAGATAAAAAATTACAGACCGATCTCTCTGTTGAATGCGGATTATAAGATATTTGCTTCAATTATAGCAGAAAGACTAAAGAGATTCTTAAATGGGTTTATACATACAGATTAAAATGGATATTTACCTAAGAGACAAATTAAAGACAATATGAGAATAATCTCGAACACACTGGAATATTATGAAGCGCATCCAGGGAAACAAATGGCCTTGATTTTCCTTGGTGCTCAGAAGGCCTTTGACAATGTGAACTGGCAATTTATGCTGGAAAAGCCGGGGATTGATATGGATTGGTATACAAAGTTGCAAATACAATCTAGATATGAAAAGGATGCTAAACTGTATGGTTTTTATATGGAACTGACAGAATTGGATATTGACAGGAATAGAAGAGAGAATGATTTAAAAAATTGTATAACTATTGAGTGTTAAATTAGAAGAAGAACAAGTTAAAGAAACAATGATAGCATGGACGAAAAACTTTGGTTATACGATAGAGCTAGATAAATGGCTAGATAAATGGCAGACATTATAGGATAGGAACTATAAATTAACATTGTCAGCTGCATACAAGGAAAGCTTATATCTTTTACAGATGGCACTTGTATGTTTTACAGATGGCATTTACAGGGGTGAAATGCTTCCGGATTGGACCGGATCACCCGATCTGGTAGCGATCTTGGCCGCCCACACGCCTGGGTGTCATTATTTCCTGGTTTTAACCAGGTTTTAACCAGGGAAGCAATGTGTGTTTTTTACCTTCTGCTCATGCACAGGAGGTTTTGCGTATACGCAGGAGGCCTGCGTGCGCATGTGATGCATGTGCAGGCAAAGGCTTCCAAACCGGTAAGGAAGGTAAGTAGATTTCACCCCTGGGCACTTAGCACCAGAAAGACTGGCCAAAATGTTTAAAGACAAATCAACTAAATGTTGGAAATGCCAACAGACACCGGGGTCGCATTATCATATGTGGTGGACATGTGTGGAAGCAAAAAGATACTGGGCAAAAATTCGCATGTGGCTGGAGAAGATGATGCAACAACATCTTGATTTAAAACCGGAATTGTTCCTGTTGGGGATTTTACCGGGAATTTATAGTAAAGAAACTGTATATTTGATTATTCATGTAATAACCATAGCTAGAATTGTATTTACACAAAACTAGAAAAGTGAAGAGATCCTTACAGATGAAAAAGTGATATAGAATAGAATAGAATAGAATAGAATAGAATAGAATAGAATAGAATAGAATAGAATAGAATAGAATAGAATAGAATAGAATAGAATTCTTTATTGGGCAAGTGTGATTGGGCACGCAAGGAATTTGTCTTTGGTGCATATGCTCTCAGTTGTACATAAAAGAAAAGATACGTTCATCAAGAATCATAAGGTACAATACTTAATGATAGTCATAAGATACAAATAAGCAATCAAATCATATTAGGAAACAGTCAATATAAATCTCAAGGATGCAAGAAACAAGCAACAAGGTTACAGTCATAAGTAGGAGGAGATGGGTGGTGGGAGAAGATTAATAGTAGTGCAGACTTAGTGAATAGTTTGACAGTGTTGAGGGAATAATTGTTTAGCAGAGTGCGGGCGTTCAGGAAAAAACTGTCCTTGTGTCTAGTTGTTCTGGGGTGCAGTGCTCTATAGCGTCGTTTTGAGGGTCGGAGTTGAAACAGTTTGTGTCCAGGATGCGAGGGATCTGTAAATATTTTCCCAGCCCTCTTTTTGACTCGTGCAGTAGACAGGTCCTCCATGGAAGGCAGGTTGGTAGCCATTGTTTTTTCTGCAGTTCTAATTACTGTATCTAATTATAAAAAATATTAGAATGTGCAGAAATGAACAGATTAACACTTGCAATTCAAGAAAAGGAAGAATCAGCTTATTATAATATATGGGAGTTATTTTATCAATGGTTAGAGAATAAATATGAAAGCAATGTATTGTAAAAATAAGTAAGTAAAGAAGAGAAATGTTAGGTTTATGTTATTTTATCAGTATTATTATTATTATTTAGTATTAATATAAGAATGAATGTAAGAAATTAATATCGTGGTAAGTTTAATTGTTAAGACACAAAGAATTTTATACCCAGATGACCCACTGCCTAATGAAAGATGGAATGTTTGTATTAAAAGAAAATAATCTTTTAAAAACCAAATACAAAAAAGGCGTTGAGACACTGAAAAGAGAGCAGAGAAGAGCAACCAAGATGATGGGGGGGGCTTGTTCTGGAGGGTCGGGGGAGTTCAGTCCAGTGCCCTCCAGATGCCTTTTCTCCTCTCCAATAAATGTTCTTTGAAAAAAATGATTCTCTGGGTTTTGCTTTGAGTTGTCATCAGACTTGTTGGTCTACTTATTTAAAATCATTGAATCTTGGTCTTGGGAACATTGTAGTAAGACCACATTATAAAGAGTGCCTGCATTTGACACACAGCAGTTGCACAATCCTCTCCTAGTAGCTTCTTTGCAATAAATTTACTGATCAGAAACCAGAATTCTGGTTTCCGTGTTTCCTATACAGCCTGCTGGGCAGAATAGCAATAACACTTAGACTTATATACCGCTTTACAGCCCTCTCTAAGCAGTTTACAGAGTCAGCCTTTTGCCCCCAACAATCTGGGTCCTCATTTTACCCACCTGGGAAGGCTGGAAGGCTGGAAGGCTGGGTCAACCAGTGAGATTCGATTTGCTGAACTGCAGCTAGCAGTCAGCTGAAGTAGCCTGCAGTACTTCACTCTAACCACTGCGTCATCTCAGGATAATGGCCGGGCACCCCAGAATTCTGGCAAGCACTGAGGATGTTACCTAGTTGGTTCATAGCCAGACCTGCCACCACTTAAACCTCTAAACAGAAACGATCCTTGGCTCCATTTGTTGAGAAAGGCATAGTTTCATTAGAAGTCAAGTCCATTGCTGCATTGCATAGCCAGAACTGAGAATTGCTTGTCCAAATCCCCCAAATTCAACTTCTCCCTCCCTTAGCTACTTCCCATTGACCACTCCCATGTCACCAGTCAGGTTCAGGCAGGATGTTTTCCTAATGGTCAGTTCAAGCCCAGGTGTTGTATACAGCTGATATGCCGGGTGACCCTGAAGCAGCGTCTGGCAGGGATACAACACTTATTTTCTCCCTCCCCCTCCCCTTGCCTCCCCCCCCCCACGTTCATGGCAGTCTGTCACTGAATAGAAGTGAAGCACAAGCAAGCGTGAGGTGGCAGCTGACATACATGAAACATCTTCCCAAAAGCAACCAAGGTCACAGAACACCAAGGACCAGTGGTGGTATTCAGCCGGTTCTATCCGGTTCGGGCGAACCGATAGAAGCAGAGGCGGGAGGCTCCCCCCACCTGCCCGGATTTCATCATACCTCTCTTGGTCCCCAGAATTCCTTAGAGACGACATGGACAAAGAACGCTGCCCTGAGCAGCTCCCAGGGCCGGTCTCTCTGGGGTAAGCAGCCAGCGCCTCCCTGCGGGACCTACGTGTCCTGCAGAACACAGAGATGTCCATTTCCCAGTTGTAATATCTTTTCGCTGTATTGGCTAGGAACTACTACCTGCTCCAGAGCCTGCTGAGGGAGGGGGGAGGGACAGAAGTGCCCAGGCCAGGAAGCCTTTCTCTTCTTCAGCGTTCAGGAGGAAGAGAGGATGACTCAACCAGTATGGAAGCTGCCTTGGTGTTCTCTTTTCCTGAGGGTGGGGAGAAACCATGGAAAAACCCGGAGCAGGGGTCCCCAATCCCCGGTCTGTGGACTGGCACCGGGCGGTGCAAACAAGCGAAGCCCCATCCGTGGGATGCAGGCAGCATGTGAAAAAAAACCCTGCTGGTCCCTGGTGCCCAAAGGTTTGGGGGCCACTGTTCTGGAGGCCTCAAGGGAGGAGATGGCTCTCCGTGGCTGCTATTCCCTGACCTCGCCCATCCTGACAGGGGAAGGGCAAAGTGACCCACGGGCCCTGTGGTGCCCCGGCTGCCCTTGCAAGGAGGCCTGCATTCTGCATCTGGGTGTGAGGCCCTGGTGACCAGGAGGGGCTCATAAAGGCAGCTGAATCCGTCCGCCCAGCGTCTCTCCAGCCTTCTTTCCCAGCTAGACCGAAGGAACCAGGAAAGCCGTCCAGGACACGCCAAGCATCAGCCTGATGCGAAGAAGGCTCGGATCAGCCCACCAGCCTGCCTGGAGGGGGGTGTTTGGTGGGGAAAATGCCAAGGGGGCAATCAGGGGAGGACCGAAGGAGAATTGCTGCTGAGCCATCGGGGTCATTTCACTGAAGGGAAGCTGCATGTAAGGGCCTCTCTGTGGGGGAATCCAGCCAGACACTGAGTCTGGGGGCTCAGCAATGCAAGCAGCCCCCATGTGAACGGCTTAGGGAAACGTGCAGATCCCTTTGCCTACAGCTGAGCCAACCGTGGGAAGACGGGTTTAGCTCAGCTTTCCAGATGCTTCTGAGGAAACACGCCTGAGCACCCTTAGCCACCCCAAGGTAAGAGAAGCTTATAAACTAAAGTCCACGTGCATAGGGTGCCCCTCAAGCAGGTCAGTCAAAGGACCAGTTAAAGTGCCCAGCCTGGTAAGGGTCAACCTTGCTTAGTTCTTTTCTGAGTTTGCATGTTCTGTGCACGGAGCCCTTCTGATCGGTTGAGGATTCTGTCTCTGGAGCACAGCCCCACAATTGACTGGTCAGTTAAATTTGTTGCTTAACTTCAGCTGGGGAAAAATTAAAAAGGAACTTTGAGTAAATCAGCAGAACTTACACGGGAGGACTGTGCTTTCCCCAGAAGCTTCTGCTTGGGGATTTTTAACTTCTGGGTGAAGTTGGTGCAATGAATCTGCATATTCAGGTTAGGCGGATGGGGCTTTGAGGTCCTGATTGATCCAGAGGGGGATCTGCTAGGGAGAGAGGGCAGCCCAAGGAATATACCAGCTGGGTCAGATGTGGAACCCCTTCTTGGAGACCCAGGATTCTAGCATTTTCAAACTGGAAGAGGGATGGCTCCAACACCCCTGCAGAAATCCAAATTCACCCTCAGAGAAGGCAGCCTGCATGCCTCCAACACGGGAAGCCAACTCTCCTCAGGCTTCTATCATCCAGCTGCTCACCATGCTAGGATGTTCTCCTAGTATTTAGCCAGGATCTGACTTCTTGCAACTGAAACCCAGTGTGTTGAATGGTGAATGTTTCTAGATTTCAGGAGAAATTTCCTGACAGTGAGAACAATAAACCATCACTTCAGAAGTTGTGGGTGCCCCATCACTGGAGGCCTTTATAAAGAGACTGGACAAACATTTGTCCCGAATGATCTAGGACAGGGGTGCCAAACTCAATTTCACTGAGGGCCGCATCAGGGTTGTGTTTGACCTGGGGGGGCGGACATGGCCAGGGTGGGGGTGGCCAGCTCAACATCACTCGTGTTGGGGGCTCCTGAGGTGGCTCGAGTGCTCTGCCAGTGAAAACAGGCTCCTGAGTTCTGTTTTGGGCTGTGACGGCCTCCTGCAATCCTCTGCCAGCGAAAACAGAGCTCTGGAGGGCCACACGCAACCCTCCCGAGCTCTGTTTTTTGCTGGCAGAGACATTGTGGGCTGGTCCTTTGCTGTTTCCAGGGCAGCTCCGCGGGCCAGATCTAAGCATCCCATGGACCGGTTTTGGACCCCGGGCCTTGGGTTTGACACCCCTGATCTACGATCTCCTGCTTGAGTGGATGTTTGGCCTGGAAGAACTTCAAGGTTCCTTCCGACTCTGCTATTCTGTTCTATCCTGTTCTTCTTGGAGAAAAAGCAAATATATAAGAGTTCTATAACATGGGTGGAAAAAGGATCCTTTTCTGCTTCTCCTGTAAGGCCTGAGTCCAGGGTCACCCAGGGAGGGTGATTAGGGAAATCCATAAATGCCATTTAATACTATGAAGGTACCTATGGCTGCCCCTGCTGTTGGTATTTTCTAGATCAGCATGCTGGCTGGGAAATTCTGGGAGCTGAAATCCTCACATCTTAAAGTGTCAAGGTTGAAAAAACAGAGCTCTAGATGAATTCAGTCAAGAAAACACTAACTAGAGCTTATCTCCAATCCTAGGCAGCACGATTTACAAAACCTGTGCCAAAGGAAGGTGACTTCTTTGTAGTTTTGTCCTGTTCAGTTACAGTGGGACCTGACGGCCATGGGAAATGGACCTTTGATCTGATTCTAGACAGCTCTTCTATGGGTGTTTACATTTCCTTCTCTCAGTGTCACCACATAGTTTGGGGGACGATGGTCCCTACAAGTGGCAGCTGGTGTGATGGGCTGCAGTGAAGCAGAGTTTCCCAGGAAAGAGGAAACACATTCCAGAAGGGAGGAGGAGGAAAAGAGGCAGTACAGCCCAAAGACAGAAAGGAGACAGAGAGTTAGAATAGCCACTTTTTAGAATTTCCAAACGGATATCCATTAGGGTGAGAGTAGTGAAGATTTAATCTGGCAAGATTCTGTCCCTTGTGTGTAACCAAATACAGAACTGAACTCTGGCAGAATTTTTCTACATTATTTAGTCTGGCAAGACCAGACAAGAAACGTGACCGGATTACATGACCAGATTAGTTGACCATAAAGCTACATTAACAGAATCTTGCGCGTCTGAAAGTACAACCCAAGGAACTAAGATGGGTTCAGTTGTCTCTTCTCTAAGCATTTCCCAGGCAGCATCTCTCCACCCCATCTCCCAAGGTCTTCCCCATGTAGCATTACATCAATTGAGAAGATAGATAGGGAAGTAGAAAGAGAAATTGGCTAGATGAAATCTTGGCATCCAAAAGAAATCTAGCTAACACATTCCATTGATGTGTGCCTATATGTTCATATTATTTTCAGGAATGCACCCCAACTAATATTTATCTTTCTCGTTTTTCTCAGGATCAAAATCCAGCAAGAAGTGAAAGGCAAATGTCAGGAGGAACCCCAAATGTTTCTTCGGGTCCTTCTCAATCTCAACTTTCCATGTTCAGAGTCAAAAAGGCATCATTCATCGTCTGAAGGAACATGTCAGGTTCTCCTGAGGCTGCCCTCAACTCCTTGGCACTCCTCAACAGTTCCAAATTGAATCCATCGGTGGTCTGGCTGACTGGGATTCCTGGCATGGAATCCAACCTTGCCTGGATTTCCATCCCATTCTGCTCCATCTATCTCATTTCTGTTTTGGGGAACTCGGTTATTCTTTTTGTGATCAAAACAGAGCAAAGCCTTCACAAGCCCATGTACATCTTCCTCTCCATGCTGGCTATCACAGACCTTGGTTTATCCATCTCCACCATGCCAACCATACTAGGCGTCTTTTGGTTTAACACCAGAAGGATCAGTTTTACTGCTTGTTTCACCCAACTGTACTTCATCCACTCGCTCTCATTGATGGAGTCCTCTGTGCTCTTGGCCATGGCCTTTGATCGCGTTGTGGCCATCCGCAACCCCCTCAGATATGCCTCCATCTTGACCATGCCAAGAATAAGGAAGATGGGCCTGGCATTTGTGGTCAGAGGCGTGGCCTTGATCTTCCCGTTGCCCTTCCTTCTCAGAAGACATCACTACTGTTGGGTCAACCTCCTCTTCAACTCCTATTGTCTTCATCAGGAGGTGATGAAGCTGGCCTGCTCCGACATCACTGTGAACAGCATTTATGGCATGGTTGTCATTTTCTCCACAGTGGGGGTGGACTCACTTCTTATCCTGTTCTCTTACATTGTGATCCTCAAGACTGTGTTGGGCATCACATCACGGAGAGACCGCCTCAAAGCCCTCAGCACTTGTGGCTCACATATCTCCGCAGTGTTGCTCTTCTACACACCAATGATTGGCCTAACTGTGATACACAGGTTTGGGAAGGATACCCCGCTCTTTGTCCGTATTTTTATGGGTTATGTGTACCTTCTGGTGCCACCCCTCATGAACCCCATTGTGTACAGTGTAAAAACCAAGCAAATTCGAGACAAGATAATCCAAATTTTCTTCAAGTGGTACACAAAAAGTAGAAGCTTCTGTTCTTGATACCAAATATGTTTTTTATAAAATTCCTTGGAGGAAATATCATGAAAAGCAGATCAGATCTTCCAAAAGATTCAGAGAGCCTTTCTCTGTGGATCAGGTCACATTCACAAGTGTAGGGAACATAAATTTCAGGATTGAACTGTGAGGTCCTTGGTGCTCTCTGAACTTGGTTGTTTTCTTGCAGAAGTTTCATCACCTGACTAGGTAACATCATCAGTACTAGGGACACTAACATCTAGCACTGATGATGTTACCTAATTTGGTCATGAAATGTCTGCAAGAAAGCAACCGAGCTCAGAGAGCACCAAGGACCCCATAAAAGTTCATAGAAACTATGGAGTTGGAAGAGGCCATGAGAATCACCTACTGGAAAACCAATTTAACTTCCACACAAGATGTCTGTTCAACCTCTTCTTAAAAGGCTTCACAACGTGGCTATTATGTCTGCGTGCAATCTTCTTTTCTTAAGACTCAGCATTGTCTATTCCTTCATTCTCTTCCTCACAGGACATGTCTTCAAGTTCCTTTTATTATCTCTGTTGCTCTTCTCTGAATGTCTTCTAATCATTCAATATCCTTCCGGAAACATGACACCCAGAACTACGTGTAGTCTCTCCCTTACAGAGCAGTGGGAAAAGGGACTTTGAATGTCTTTGATGTGATGCGTCCTCTGACACATCTCAGAACTGCAGCAGCCTTCTACACACTGTCTCACACTCACACTTTCCTCCCCAAATTTAATACTTTATCTTCCTTGCTGTTGAAAGGCATCTGGTTCTTCTTGGACAACCTCTGCAGGTTCAACTGTCCAGGTTAAATTCAGTCATCCTCAATCTTTGCCCAAATATCACTATTTTATATGATCCACAAATCTGACAAGAAGCACCTCAACCCCATTATCCAGGTCATTGATAAAAATATTAAATAATACAGGTTCCAAGAGGCATCACCATGGTATCCCATTGGTTACTGCCATCTATATCTCAATGTACAGTGTTCGATTTAATCACCATTTCCACAAAAAGGTCAGAGGCAGGAAGGCGGGAGGATCCCACCCAAGAGGGGAATAGGGAATTAATGTCTCCCTCCTGACCCGAGTATAATCTGGGGCTCTTAAAGTTGTTCAAAACCTCTGATGGACCCAGAAGTCATAGAGGCATCAACAGATCTCCAGATGCTGAGCCCTGGCCCATCTATCCCACGTTACCGGGACTCTACAAAAGATGGAGGCCTGGAGACTTTCCTACTTGGGCTTGTGATTACCCTGCTGGAGTCCCACACCTCTCACTCTCCTCGGCTTTCTTCCTCCTGAAGCAGAACTTCTGAGGCGACCTCCCTCCTGGCCCTTCCTGGTCCCTCCCTGGACTCTCCTCAGCCCCTCCCACTTTCTCCCAGACCGCCCTTCTTTATTGATCCCAAATGGCAGGTGATTGTTCTGGGGTGGGGGTCAGGGGAACCCTTCTCCAACCTCCTGTCCTCCAGGTGTCTTTTCTTCTCTCCAAATAAAGATTCTTTGGGGAAAAATGATTCCCCGAGTTTTGCTTTGGGTTGTACTCAGAGCTGTTGGTATTCTTATTTAAAATAATTAAATCTTGATTTGAGAACATTGGAGTAGTAAGACTTTAAAGATCAACCCCATTATAGTTTATTATTTATTTAGCATATGGTGATGTTACATCAGCCAGGAGACTACAATGCTAATGCAGAGTAATAGTTTGACTGCTTAAGACTGCTAGCCACTCAGTTCACACTTGTGCATTTTCCAAGGTTCACCACAGGGGGCGTGCTAGTTCCACTCTGGAAAAAAAGACTGCTATGTGGGGCCTTCTCCCTCCACGGAAATCACCTTGTAAATGGGCATTGCATCTGGGAACGTCCAGTGCCCGCAGGGTCTGACCATCTGCATGAAGTGCTGGCTCGTCTCCGCACCGAAGTGGTTATCTATTTATCTACTCGCATATAGCATGCTTTCAAACTGCTAGGTGGGCAGAAGATGAGGCAAGTGACGGGAACACATTCCATTACATGATGCTGGACTCGAACTGTTGGAGCAAAGATCATCTCCAGCTCCATTAAGCCACTGAATACCATGCCTCTTATTGTGACGAGTGCCTGCATTTGACAGACAACAGTTACTGACTCCTCTCCTAATAACTTCTTAACTTTTTTGCAATAAATGTACTTATCAGAAGCTGTTGAATTCTGTCTGCTGGTTTAAGTGTTCCCAATCAACTGATAGCCAGATAATTAGTTGGGCTCCCTAGAATTCTAGCGAGCACTGAAGTTGTAGCTATTTTGGGTCATGAAACGTCTGCGAGAAAACAGCCCAGCTCAGAGAGCACCAAGGAGCCCACAGCTCAAGCCTGAGCTACAAACATTCTCCACTCTTGGTCCCCAGAGTTCCTTAGAGACTCCATGGACAAAGAAGGCTGCGTTGACCAGCTCTCAGAGGAGTTTTCTCTGGTGTAAGCAGCCAATGCTGCCCTAAGTCATATAAATCTCTTGTCTTGTGGAAATTTTAGGGTCTTTTCCATCAACCGTGGTGATGCTGAAAAGATAAAAACAAGAGATCAGAAAAGGTGTGAAAAAGGATCTTCTTGCTAGTTTGAGTGCCTTGAAGTCCCCGGGTTCTCCAGATGACATTCCTTCCTGCAGAATATTTAAGAAATGGGCTGAATAGATGTTGGGAACTTCTAAGAGCCTTGGAGAATTAAGGAGGTACTTTTCTTTTCTTCCATTGATTATGTCCAATCTTGACAAGTCCTTGAAGTTTTCTTTCAGAAGTGGTTCACCATTGCCTCTTTCCTGGGGCTGAGAGAGGAGGACTGGCCCAAGGTCACCTGGCTGGACTCCCAGTATCCAGCTTGATTCCTCAACCACAACGCCAAATTGCCTCTCAGAATGAGGGGAAAGGGGGTTGATCCCAACCTTGACACAGTATTATCTTTTGATTTTAGGATGCAGTTAACAAAAGTCATTTATTTTCTATTTATTATACAAAGCTGAAGGCACTTTTTAATTGTCCTTTTTGCAATTTAAATTGCCATTGCATAGTTGGGATGGGTAATAGGTCCATTAATAAGATATTTGAGAGGTTTGAGACAATGAGTTTTGGGTTTAGCTCTCCGTGCTTTAGAAATCTCTCAGAGTCATTAGGGGATATATCAATGTAATAAATCAGTTGATTTTGTAATACCCTGTTTCCCCTAAAATAAGACATCCCCTGATGATAAGCCCAATCGGCCTTTTGAGCTCATGAGCTAAAATAAGCCACCCCCTGAAAATAAGTCCTCCCTGAAAATATTTAAATGAATACGCAGCCGGTCTGCCCCATTTTCCCTGGTTAAGGTTAGGGAGAGAGAGCTGGAAATCAGGTAAAACGGCAAGAGGAGCTCCATCTTGCTCCAATTAATAATAATTACAAAATAATAAGATATCCCCGAAAATAAGGCCAAGCACTTATTTTGGGGTTCAAAAAATATAAGACAGGGTCTTATTTTCAGGGAAACACGCTGTCATGGTGTTGTCCAAATATTAGTGACCTCCATGGATTGATAAAGTCACTCTCTATCATAGATCATCCTCTTTTAACAACCCCATAATCCCTTGTGGGGTGGAGTCTGGGCAACTGAATGGAGCTGAGTGTTTACTGGCCAGATGCCCTTCCTGTCGCCAATGTGGAATTTTATTCAGCAGATATATTCTCAGTGTGCCCAGAGAGAGAAATATCTGCCTCTACCTAAGATCAAACTCACAGCCTCCTGATTGTAAGGTGAGAGCTCCACCTCTAGGCTACCACACCACCCCCTTTCTATCATAGATAACCTTTACCTTTTACTTTTTATTTTCCCCTTGACTACAGGTGACATGTCTTGGGACAGCATTATGACATCTTCTAATAGGACTGCCAGCCCCCCAATTTTCCTCCTGACAGGCTTTCCTGGCCTAGAAAAACTCCATTTCTGGATTTCCCTCCCCATCTGCTCCATGTACTTGGTGGCCATCACAGGGAACTGTGTCATCCTCTTCGTCATCAGGACGGACGAAACTCTCCACTCCCCCATGTACTATTTCCTTTCCATGCTGGCCCTCTCGGACCTGGGTTTATCCTTTGCCACTTTACCCGCCATGCTGAGCGTGCTGTGGTTCAACCACCGTGAGATCCACTTTGAGGCCTGCTTGGTCCAGATGTATTTCATCCACACTTTCTCCATTGTCGAGTCTGGTATTCTCCTCTCTATGGCCTTCGATCGCTTGGTGGCCATCTGGAACCCTCTGAGATACACAAGTGTTTTGACCTATGAGACGGTCATCAAGATCGGGGTGGGGGTAGCCCTTCGAGCTGCCTTCCTTGTGTTCCCAGCCTCCTTCCTCCTGAAGCGTCTGAAGTATGGGAGGATAAATGTCCTCTCCTATTCCTTCTGTTTGCACCAGGATCTTCTGAAGGTGGTGCTCTCGGACAGGAGAATCAGCAGCATCTACGGCTTGATGGTGGTGGTGTCTTCTATGGTTCTTGACTCTGTATTGCTTGTATTGTCATACATTATGATCCTCAAAACTGTGCTGAGCATAGCCTCTAAGGCAGAACGTCTCCGAGCTTTGAATACCTGCATCTCCCATATCTGTGCTGTCCTGACCTTCTACACGCCAATGATTGGACTCTCCATGATCCATCGCTACGGGAAGAATGCTCCTCCGGTGGTTCACATCCTCATGGCCAACATCTATCTTTTAGTGCCACCCCTTATGAACCCTGTCGTGTACAGTATAAAGACCAAACAGATTCGGATGAAGATCTTTAAGGGTCTCCTGAGAAGGAAAGAATCTGTTAGGGTCACTTAGAATTAGCTCTGAGGACACGGCAAGACATCTTCAAGAGGAGGGTTGCCCCAGGAGCAAACTGACTGAGCTACCATCCTAGTTTGGTGTATGGCTACTACAGCGGGACTGCGCATTGAAGGTTTTGAATTTAGATGCTCGGCTGGGTCATAGCCTGCCTCCTCCTCTTGCCTTCGAGGACATCTTATGTGAAGTGGCCCAAAAAAGAGCAGAAGAAAGAAGATAATAGCCGCCATCTCGAGGCCAAGAAACGGAACAAATCTAAAGAGATCGGCCTGTCATGACTGTGTGCCCAGCACTAAGAGACAAGGACGTTTATTACTGATTCCTTTAGAAAGGAGAAGAAAACATTAAATAGAAGAAAAAGCTCAAGTACAGAACAAAGTGTGAACTAAAACTGTGAAAAACTATGCATAAAAGATGGACAGAAGTTACTGAAAAGCTGAGATTTATCTTCAAAAAGCTATTCTGAATTTCTAAGATTACTGGCTAGCAGATAAAATTTCCTTCCTTCCTTCCTTCCTTCCTTCCTTCCTTCTTTTTTCTTTCTTTCTTTCTCCCTTGTTTCCCTCCCTCCCATCTTTCCCTCACTGCCTTCCTCCTCCCTTGCTGTCCTTCTTCCTTCTCTCTCATTCTTTCTTTCTCTTTACTTCTCTCACTGTCTTTCCTTCTCCTTCCATTCTTCCTCCCTTCTTTCTTTTTTCTTCCTTCACTGTCTCTCTCACTCCTTTATTCCTTCTTCTCATTCCCATCTCCTTTCCTCTTCTTCCTTCTTTCCTTCTTCCTTCCTTCTCTGTCTCTCTCTCCTTCCTTCCTTCCTTCCTTCCTTCCTTCCTTCCCTCCCTCCTCCCTGGTATATCATGCACAGAATATGTTCTAATAAAGTTGTTAACCAAACTGACCTGCTGCTGGCGTGCTCAGTGAGAGATCTGCTCCTGCCTGTTCTGAGGCCTAAGGGTGCGTTAACACCAGCACTCCATGTTCTCAGGGAGCAAAGGTGGAGGACTCCACACACAGACACAGACACACACACAGAGAGACACTACACAACTTCTTTGGGGGAATCCCAGGCGAGTGAACGGCTGAGGCTTTGGCCAGCTGGAGTGTCGCCCTCCCGTCTTGCTTTTTAAATCGGCTTCCTCTTCTCCTCCCATTTCCCATAACTGGAGAAGGACATACCAAGAATCTCATGGAACTGCAAAGGTTTTGTGTTAGAAAATTTTATTGATTCCATTTTGGGGCCTGCCGACTCGAAGATGACTCTGAAAGGCCTACAACTAATAAAGGACACTATGTAGATGGAAAGAAAAAAGTCACAGCCAACCAGAACGCCAGAGATGGCAAAGCTGAGAAATGGGCGGCTGCCACAACTGAATGCAGAACTCGGCCGGCTGGCAATGCTTCCCATGAGTCAGCAGAGGCAGGAGGGGCAGGCAGGCTGGGCGAGGTGGTGGTGCCCCAAAGCTAGTGCCAGAGAAAGGACCTGGCCAGGACCGGCACCATTGGCAGCTTTGCCAGCCGGCTGCTTCTCCAATCAGGAGACGTGCAGAGCAAAGCTTTCACCAGCCTCTGCTCAGTTACCTGGACTCACTTCCTGTTCATGGCATCGATTGATTGGCATCGACTTCAATGGGCTGCAAATAAGAGCCCAGAAATGACAGCAGCACTGAACGAAAGAACATAACGGCCGGTATTCAAGGTCAGGGTCCCCGCAGCAGCCCCCTCCCCAGTCATGAAGTCACCATCCAGGCACTTGGCAATCTATGCGTCCTTGCAAGTGACTGCAGAGGGACACGGCAGCTGCCCCCGCTCACTAATCATTTATACATTTACATAACGGTTAGCCATATTATTTAGGAATCATAGGTTAACTAACCCAGTTTTCCACAGCGTAACTGATTAACAGGAGGGAGGGAGGGGAAAGTAAAGGTCTCCGTGAATGAGGATTTGCTGTCCTCTGCTTCCCATTCAGTTTGGGATTCGTGGCATCTTTAGGTAGAGGCCATAATTTCTGTTTCCAAAATTGGAGCCAGGAATCGTAGCTCCTCACTTGGACTGCCTGTCAGGGCATTTATTAATCCCATGTTTGGCTCTGGGACAAATCACCCTGGTTTAATTAGAGGAGATGGATCGTGGCTCCTCCTTGTTTGCAATATTCTGGAAAAGAAACGCGAAGAAAAGTTTCTAATAAAACTCATTTATTTGTTATAAAGAAAATAAAGCACCTCACTAACTAAGAAAAGATAATGGTTACATTTTGAAAGTAAATCGGGCCAGTTGCTTTTCACAGCAACCAGCACTCCTGGCATGAGAACAAAGGAAAGAGTGTGTGAAGCAAGTGAAAGAATGCGGACATGCGTAGTAAAATACTGATAAGGAACTTGGCAAACTACAGTAAGTCTATTAGTCCAAAAATAATGAAGCTCAGCTGGGAAATAAAAAAACGCAGTGACACTGCCCTGATGGGGTGGACAGTGGGCCAGAGTTGCAAGAGGGAGGGGTTCTTTCCCAGCGAGCAAGAAAGCTTGGAATCTCTAGTGGGCAGAAAGAGAGCAAAGACGGACCCTCCCTAGCAGTTCACGCAGTATGCCTAGTAGTTTTGTAGATAAGTGCTTTAGTCTGGCAAGATTCCGTCTCTAGGAGAGCAGCAATAAAGAAACTACTCAGAAGTAACTCCTTGTGTCGCTCCTGATTCCTTGAGGCTTTGATTCCCGGATTCTTTTGGAGTCTCCTGCAGACTATTTTTTTCCCTGGATTTTCTGTTTGTGCTGATATGCAAATAGCCTTCTGATGGTGGCCTCTGCTGCTCCCTCCTGGCTAACAGTTTCATGGGATGGGTCAACCAACCTGGAACTGCTCCCCGTCAGTCCCCTGAAGGCCCCAACTCATCTGCTCTCCAGGTCTCTTAAGGCCCCATTTCCAGCCTTGCTTGCTTTGGGGCCAAAGGGGGGGGGGGAGGAGGAGGAGGAGGAGGAGGAGGAGGAGGAGGAGGAGGTGTGCCAAGGAGAAGAGGCTCTGCTGGCCAGTTTGGAGGCCTCATCAGGATCCTCTGGTCTCTTCCCCCACCTACCCCCCAAAACCCCTCCTCTCCATCGTTGTTCCCAGGGCAGGTCTAGGATGCCTCCCCTCCTCACTGAGAAGCCCTTCAGTCCCTGATGTTGCCAGCAGGGGGCGTCAGAGGCCCTCGGGTTGTGACTGCTGCTTTCCTGCCTTCTGAGCAGAATAATCAAAGCAAGAGAGATGATGGGGCTTCCAAGGTAACCTCCTTGTGAAGTCTCAACGTTCGTTTGCACATTACGATCAAATCGGTAAATTTCAGTATGCCTTTGGACCTGGCTAATTGCGAGTAGCTATTATGGAAAGTATTTAGCAAAATAATTTCCTTTTATGGCATTTATATTGCGTCTGTCCTATGGTTTTCATTGGCTTTGTGTTTTGCAGTTGCCTAGCTAGAGTATTTTCGTTAATTGAATACATGTACACTAAAACAAATTGTTCAGGTCTTGTGGTCAGAAAACATTGTGCAAGTCCAGTGCTGAGCAATTCACCCCTGCCAGAATCCCAGGCGACCTGAACCCTTTCGGCCTTCTCTAACAGGGCCTGGGGACTTGGATGGTGAGGTGGCCCTCCATATACTACCTTCTGAGATATTTGCAGGTAGTCCTCGATTTACAACAGTTTGTTTAGTGACATTCAAAGTTACATCAGTGAAAAGGATGACTATGACGTAAGTACGTTTTTCACACTTGCGACCCCTGTGTAACTCTCCTGGTCACCTGATCAAATTTAAATGTTTGGCAGCTGACTCATATTTATGACGGTTGCAGTGTCCCGGCTGATCCTCTTTTGCAACCTTCTGACAAGCAAAGTCAATGGGGAAGCCGGATTCACTTAACAACCACAGGACTAAGTTTAACAACTGCAGTGTTAACAAAGGTGGCAAGAGAAGCCGTAAAATGGGGCAAAACTCACTTAACAACTGTCTCGCTTAGCAACTAAAATTTTGGGCTCAATTGCGGTCCTAAGTCGAGGTATTGGAAACCACCAGGAGCAGTACAGGTGCAGTTCGGGTAGAGAAGTAAATAAGCCATATTTCTTCCAGAGACCTGCTGAATCTTTGCTGAGCTGAATCCCGTTTGGGCAGGAAAGGGTTAACCTAGGAAGTGAGTCTGTGGGACTTTTATCAGGGGAGGAAAGCACTTTGAGTGCCCGATGTCTGGGGAGAGTTTCCTTCAAAGAAGGAGCCGGTTTATAAGCCTGTTGTCCAGCAGCCCTGGGCTCCGTCTCCTGGTCCCTTTGGAGTGGAGGGAGGCGGGAGGGTCTCGCCCCTTCAGCAAAGGTCGGGCGGACTCACTTTCAGTGGCTGTGAGTTTATTTATTTGCTTGTTTGTTTCTTCATTTTACTTGCCGCCTTTCTCACCTTGGGGCTATTCTGGGTAGCTTATAGTGATAAGAAGGAAGAAAAATGAAAGGAGCAGAAATAAAATAATAGGACAATAAAATAAACAATGACAAAGGAATCCAATGAGAATAATACATCCCTAATAATAATAATAATTTTATTTCTATACCTAAGTTCTATAAGTTCTATACCTAAGTTCTTTCAGGCCCTGCTCGGTGAGCATATAGGATCTTTTTCTACTGAGCTTAGGGGGATGCAACGTGCTAGATATGGGGGCCCTGATCACTCTGCATCCAGTCTGTGGGTTAAGTTTTAGAAGTTTTTAAAAGGTTTTAATGTCTGTTTTTCCCGTAGCAGCCGGAGTTATTGGCATGTACAATCTCAATCTCATGGACTGAGGCGGCATTAAATGCAGCCAACAAACAAATAGGAATTTGCAGATGACCCAGCATTCAGAGAGGTCTCTAAACATTAGAGGATGAGAAGGGAAAAACTGAAAATGTCTAGACCAGGTAAGGCTGTGGGCTGAAATGTATAATTTATTTATTTATTTATTAGATTTTTATACCGCCCCCTCTCCCGAAGGACTATAAGATGGAAATTAACAGGGGGAATGTCAAGTTGTACTCATTTATGATAGATGATAGATAGAGATAGATAGATAGATAGATAGATAGATAGATAGATAGATAGATAGATAGAGACAGACAGACAGACAGACAGACGATGGATGTAGTTAGGTGTGTGTGTGTGTGTGAGAGAGAGAGAGAGAGAGGGAGAGGGAGAGGGAGAGAGAGAGAGAGAACTTTTGCAAGCAGAGAGTTGTAATTTGGAGAAATAAAGCTTGGGGAGAAAATCTGACCATCATAACATAATTCTGGATGGCAACCAAAAAAACACAATAGAACCAATTCTAAAAACCTAATCAAGCCCCCCCCCCACTCCCCAGGGCATTTCTTTAGCAAAATAAAGCCAGCACTCAGATTCTGGATCCACTAACATCCCAGCCCAACACCTGGACGAGGGCAATAAGATCTTCAGGACAGCCTGGAAGGCCAAAAGGGTCAGGGCTGTCTGGAGTTCAGAGGGGACGTTGTTCCATCAGGCAGGTGCCACAAAAGAGAAGAGCCACTTACTAGGTCCTGCTAGGTGCCTTTGCTTCGCTGAAGGAACCCAGGGCATGCCCACCCTTCCAAAGATCTGGTCGTGTGGGCAGAAACCACAAGTCGACTGACTCCTTGTTTTGTGGGGTTTTAAAAGTGACAGCCAGCATCCTGAACGGTATCCAGAAGCCCCCTGGGAGCCAGTGCAGCTCACAGAGCAGTGGTTTTACAGTTTGGGTACTCTGTGGCATAGGGGTACCATAGGGTGTCCAAACTGTACACGGGATTACATGGTGGACCAGATGAAGCTTCTAAATGTCTAAGGAGATTCTCCATCATCCAGGTCATAGTTGTCCCAAATGTGTTTTTTCCAAAAGGCAACTGTTTTGTTTTGCTTTGCTTTGCTTTGCTTTGCTTTGCTTTGCTTTGCTTTGCTTTGCTTTGCTTTGCTTTGCTTTGCTTTGCTTTGCTTTGCTTTGCTTTGCTTTGCTTTGCTTTGGATGTTTCCCATCTCATCCAAGAAGCTTCTTCAGTTCTGATAGCATGGTGGGGAATGGAACATGCTCCATTCCTCACCATTCAGGCAGAACTGAAGAAGCTTCCTGGATGAGAAGGGAAATGACTTCAAAGTAAAAATAAAGAAAGCCCCACCTTTGGGACTTCCAAATGCTCTTAATGGGCAGCCTTGTGTGTCGCCTGGAGCTTTGCATTTGGATAGGAAAAATGGATGGGGGGAAGGCCCCTGTCTGGGCACTGGTCCATGTGGAAGAGATCTCCGTGTATCCGTGTTTAGCCAAAGTTAAACATAACCCACGAGTATGACGCGGCCACTAAAAGGTCTGATGCTGTCTTTGGGTACATTAGCAGGACATAAAGTTCAGACTGTAGGAAGCAACTGTCGCTCTCTACCCCGTGTGGGTCAGATCGTCCTTGCAGTCCTGTTTCACTGCCCTTTTTGAACGGTGGTGCCCAGGATAAGTGGCAGGTCACATTTAGGGCCAGGCCAGCAGGCCAGAAGAGAAGAATGAATCAGTGGAACGGCTTTCCTGCAGACGTTGTGGGTGCTCCGTCACTGGGGGTTTTCAAGGAGAGCTTGGGCAACTGATAGGGTCTCCTGCTCAGCAGGGGGCTGGACTAGAAGACCTCCAAGGTGCCTTCCCATCTTGTGGTTCTATGTTCTGAGATGAATGAGGGTCTGGAAACCAAGTCCTATAAGGAGCAACTAAGAGATCTGGTGTGTTTTGTCTACAGAGCAGAGCTGAGGAGATATGTGATGGCCGTCCCCAGATACCTGACTGATTCCTAGCTACAAGAGGAAGCCTTTAAGCTCAAAGCCACCAGGAGCCCTAAAACATCGAGGTCTCCAGTGGTTCATGATGGCCAAGAACTGAGAAAAGGAACAGGACTGCATTTTAGAACCAGAAGAGGACACCGATGACCAGGGAGGAGGAAAGCTGAACAAATTACCAGGCTGAGCTCCATTCTTTAAATTAGGTCGTAACCTCTCATAACCTAGTCTGTCTGAATAAACTGAAACATTTGCCAATTTCGAATGACTGTGGATATTTTCCAAAGAACATAACAAGCACTAGAATTTCTATATTCCCCTCTGTGGCTTCCCAGCATGGCTGCATCAGATGTTCCTGCAGGAGGCATGTCAGATGCCATGATGTCCAATAACAGCAGCCTGAACCTGCCCACCTTTGTCCTGACCGGCATTCCTGGGGTGGAGGAGAAGAACGCTTGGATGGCCTTCCTCCTGTTCCTGCTCTGTGTCTCCGTGCTGCTTGGAAACAGCCTCCTTCTCTTCGTCATCAAGACCGACCGAAGCCTTCATGAGCCCATGTACATCTTTCTTTCCATCCTGGCCTGCTCAGATCTGGGACTCTCCATGTCCACCTTCCCAACTATGCTGAGCGTTTACTGGTTTGACTCCAAGGACATCAGATTTAATGCTTGCATCACCCAAATGTTCTTCATCCATGCCTTTCAAGTGTTGGAGTCTGGCATTCTGGTGGCAATGGCTTTGGACCGCCTGGTGGCCATCCGTGAGCCACTGAGATACCGAACGCTCTTCCCAAACACTGTCGTGGCAAAAATCGGAGTAGCCGCTGCAGTTAGATGTATCTCTGTCTGCTTCCCGGTTCCCTTTCTGATTAAACGCCTACGCTTCTGCAGATCCAGGAGACTTTCTCACACCTACTGTCTCCATCCTGACGTAATGAAGCTGGCCTGTGCAGACATTGAAGTCAATGTCCTATATGGTTTGATTCTTCTGATTTTGACGTTGGGGTTTGATGTGGCCATCATCCTCGCCTCCTACGTTGTGATTTTGAAGACGGTTCTCGCCATTGCATCCCGCCAAGGACGTTTCAAGGCTCTCAACACTTGTGTCTCCCACGTTTGTGCCATCCTCATTTTTTACGTCCCCATGATCGGCGTCAGTCTGCTCCACCGGTATGGGAAGCACCTGTCCCCCCTGGTCCACAGGCTGATGGCCAACATCTACACTGTGGTCCCTCCGCTCCTGAATCCCATCGTGTACAGCATGAAGACCCAGCAGATTCGTCAGAGAATGTACAACGTTTTCCCAAAGAAGCAACACAGGATTTTATGGTAGGAAATTCTGAGAGTAAGAAAAAAGGACATGGATTGCGCTGAAATTAAAACGTTATGGAAGAACAGAATGCCAAATAAAGTGTTTCTGGAAAAGGCTGCAGAAGCTCATCTGTCGTGACCAACATTTCTTTCCTACGTGAGAGTCTGATGGAGAAACTACCCCACAATGTTGGGGAAGAAGCTCGGAGTTTCCCCACCCCCACCCCCATCTCAGCTTTTGGAGAGCCAAACTAGCCTTGAATCTATTCCCCTGACTTGCTGTGGGATTTGATTTGGTCTTGCAGTCCATTTAAGGTCGACTTGATGTTTTGGTCGCCACGATATAAAAAAGCTGTTGAGAGTCTAGAAAGAGTGCAGAGAAGAGCAACAAAGATGGTTAGGGGACTGGAGGCTGAAACATATAGAAAACGGTTGCTGGAATTGGGTCTGTCTATTCTATAGTCTGATAAAGAGAAGGACCAGGGGTGACAAAAAAGCTGTCTTCCAGTATTTGAGGGGCTGCCCCAAAGAAGAGGAGGGGGTCCACCTCTTCTCCAAAGCACCAGAAGACAGCATAAGAAGCAATGGAGGGAAACTAACCAAGAAGAGAAGCAACATGGAATTAAGGAGAAACATCCTGTCAGTGAGAACAATTAATCAGAGGAACAACTTGCCTCCAGAAATGATGGATGCTCCATCGCTGGAGGTTTTCAAAAAGAAAGCCTTGCGTGGCTGGAATGGGATAGGGTTTCCTGTCTGAGCAGCAGGTTGGACTAAAGTCCCGTCCAACGCTGTTATTCCGTTTATTATAACATGAGGAAAAATCGCTGCAGAGGTGGTGATCGCTGGGCTTGGAAGGGACTCCGTAGGGCAGCCTTTCCTGCTGGGTGGGGGATTAAAGCCTCCAGGCAGGGGAGCCCTCTACTTGGGGGCGGAGGAGGCCTTACACTCCATCCCTCCAGAGAGCAGCTGCCCCTCCTAAGTGGGACCACCAGGGATCATCCCTGCTACCTCTGCAGGTTCTCAGGCCCCCAGGTCTCCTCTGCCTCTCTTTTCTCCCCCATCCAGGGGGGCTCAGCTGCCGGGGGAAGCCGGCAACCCACCTCCAGCCTCTTTCCCTGAACCTGCTTTTGAGTTCCCAAGAAAGCCCCAAATGGAGCAAAACTTGGCCAACTGGAGCCCAGCTGCCCTTCCTGTTCACATTATTTTCCTTTATTTATAGAAAAGCCCCTGCTCTTCCTTTCTCCCTTACATGGGCTTCAGGCCATCCACCCCTGGCTTTAAAAATAGCAGCAGCCGCAGCAGCAGCAGATCAGCCTTTGCTGACTGCAGGACAAGAGCTCTCTGGAGCTGCCGAGGGCCCATCCAGGGGCAGGGAGGGAGGGAGGGAAGGGGCCACCCAGGACAGCCTCTGACACCGGACATTAGCACCATGCCTTGGGGGGCCAAGGGCAGCTGGCGGTGTGTGTGTGTGTGTGTGTGAAAGAGTCAAGATAGCAGCCAAAAACTTCCCCCCTTCCACAGACACCTGGCAGGGTCAGTGGGCAGGGAAGGACAGTCCAATGATGGGGGTCTGTCTGGAGCAACCCTACTTGGGGTGGAAATGCTGAGTTCTGCATTCACAGGCAGGGCTGAGCAGTCGAAGGGGACCCCCCTCCCTCCTCTCTATCCCCCTATTTCCAAGGAAATTCAGGCATTTCTGGGTCACAAACAAAATTATTCCATTGCGAGTTTCCCCTGGGAACGTCCCTCCTTCCCGTCAGCCAGCCTGGCCTCCAACCAAGGGATGGGAGCCAACCGACCGCCATCGCAATGGGAAGAGCTGGGACGGGGAAGTCTCGAAAGGGAGAAGAAGCCAGAGGAACGTCTGTATCTCCAAAGGTGCCGATGAGGTCGTGGCTTGGCCATCCTCAGGGCAACTGCACCACGGACACCCACACACGGTTTTTTCACCCCAGCCTTCCATGCCCTTCTCCATCGTCTCTGGGTGCCTGGTGGGAGATGCCTCCAGGGCCTTCCTACCTGGTGTCCCAAAGGTGCTCTTCAAAAGACAACTGGACTTCCGTGGTTTTTTCCCAGGAAAACAGTTTGCCTCCCATCCAAGAAACCCCCTCAGTTCTGCCTGCATACAAGTCCAGTTGCCTTTTGGAAAAGCCCCTTTGGGACAACCATGACCTGGACGACTGAGAATCTGAAGGCTGCGGAGTTGGGTTCCATCCTAGAAGTAAGGAGAAATTTCCTGGCCAGTGGAAGGGCTTCTCTCCAGAAGTTGTGGGTTCTTCATCCCTGGAGGATTTTAAGAGGAGACTGGACAGCCACTTGTCTGGGATGGTATAGGATCTCCTGCTTGACTAGAAGACCTCCAAGCTCCCTTCCAACTCTGTTATGTTACTGTTCTGTTTTCCCCACCCCCAGGACTGACTAGCCTCTCCCCTCCGGAGCCTCCCAGTTGGAAGAGGCTGAACAAACAGACCCCCCCACCCCCGACCCCCAGCTGCCATTCACTTGTGGGGCTGATCAAAACTGAAGGGAAAGGCCAGGCCGGCCAGCTGGACCGTCCTTCCTGGATCCTCTGCTCCTCGCGTGGCTTTCCATCAGCTCCCCCCCCCTGGGGGAAAACGGGAGAAGGAGGAGGTGACCTTTGGATTCCTGCACAGGTTTGCTCAAGGCAGGAGAAATGGGCTGCAGTAGGTCAGGCAGAAGAAGACGGGGGTCCTGACCTTCCAGAACTCATGGGTAGGGGAGGCTGCTATGTCAGCTGCAAAGGACGGGGACCATTCATGGAGATACGGCACAGAAGATTTACTGAAGCCCTGGCACAAGAATCCGGCCAATTAATGTTCAGTATTAAATTGGAATTCAATGGAATTCAAGAGGGGTTGGGCTTGCATCATTTGCGGCAACATAAGGACTCTAAACTGATGACTTGTTTAACTCCACCACCTTCACCCCCAGCTCTGCCTGTTGTCCTCCTGCATTCTGCTGCCGATAGGCCATCCTAAGGACTACGGGCCAAGGGACAGAGCTGCTCCTCCCTGCATCTGGCAGCCCTGGGCCTGAGGAGTGGAGGTTGGCAGCCAGGTGACAACTGCCAGACCCCAGGCAGTTTCCGAGCATTTCTTCCAAGAAAATCACGGGGGTTCATTTCCCAATAAATCTAACTCAAATGTCAAAGTTAAATAAACAGTGGGGGATTAACTGAATCAGGAAGCTACCAGATCTGCTTTTAGTTCCCAGGAATGGGAATGCCCCCCCCCCAGAGGTCCCCTCAGGGCTTCATGGCCCTGGGCCAAGTTGGGATTGTCCCCCAACCCTTATTCCCCATTCCCCCCCCCCCCCGATTCCTCTCCCTACCCCAGGAGGAAGCCATGGAGGGCCCTTCTTGCTCTCGGGAGGAACTTTGGCCACTTGTGGAAGAAGGTTCAGCACCCCAGCGGCTGACCCGGCTTTCCTTCTAGTGATTTGAGGCCACTTAGAAATATTCCCTGAATTCCCACAGCAGGAGAGTTCAAGCATTAGCTGTGACCCTTCCTTGGTAAATAACCTTCAGTTGGCAACTTTTCCAGCCTTTTCCAGGCATGTCTCCGGAGGAGGTTTTTGACATTGCTATCCTTGTGCAGAAAAGCAAAGCCAGTAAAATTAAGGGGGGAAAGGAGGCATTCAGAACCTGTGTACTGCAGGAGTCAAAAAGAGGGCTGGGAAAATATTTACAGACCCCTCGCATCCTGGACATAAAGTGTTTCAACTCCTACCCTCAAAACGACCCTATGGAGCACTGCACCCCAGAACAACTAGACACAAGGACAGTTTTTTCCCCCAAACGCCATCACTCTGCTAAACAAATAATTCCCTCAACACTGTCAAGCTATTCACTAAGTCTGCACTACTATTAATCTTCTCATCATTCCCACCACCCATCTCCTCCCACTTATGACTATATGACTGTCACTTTGTTCCTTGCATCCTTACGATTTATATTGATATTGTTTCCTGATTGTTTATTTGTTCCTTATGACTATCATTAAGTGTTGTACCTTATGATTCTTATGATGAACGTATCTTTTCTTTTATGTACTCCGAGAGCTTATGCACCAAAGACAAATTCCTTGTGTGTCCAATCACCCTTGGCCAAAAAAAAAAAAAATTCTATTCTAAAAGAACATACAACCGAATCCAAGGGCTGGAAGGGCTCTTGGGGCTCCCTTCAATTCCGATCAGCCCCACAAGTGAATGGCAGCTGGGGAAGGGAGGATCTGGGGCTCAGCCACCCGGAGGGTCCCTCACCCTCTTCTCAGCAGGGAGGAGTCCTCAGGGAAAGGGGAGGAAAACAGAACAGAATAACCGAGTTGGAAGGGACCTTGGAGGTCTTCTAGCCCAACCCCCTGCTCAAGGCAGGAGACCCCTAGACCACTGCAGAGAAATGGCTGTCCAGTTGCATCTCAAGAACCTCCAGTGATGGAGCTCCTGGACCTCAGGATACAAGAAACTCTAAACAGTAATACTATGATGGGTTACAAATTTCTTTGCCCGTGTATAAATCAGGCTGTTCAGCTTGGAAAAGCAGGTATGCAAGTCGTTTTGTTCGGGTGTCCTTGGCATGACCGATACCACCTAGGCCTCTGCTTACGTCGCAGCCCTTGCTTTCCTTTCCCAGCCAGGGGTCCTCTTGCAAGAAGCATCCGGGTTCTTCTCTAACTGCAACCTGCACAGCTGGCTATGTTTTCTTTGCAATCCCCCATCAAGGGCACAGATCTTGCTCTGTTCCTAGCAAAGCGTCTTGGCTCTTCCTTCTCCAATCTCTGTGCTGGTGGGTGTGAAAGGGAGGGGGGAGAGAGAGAATACAATCTTTTGCAAGAAGAGAGCTGTGGTTTGGAGAAATGGAGCTTGGGGTCCCAGGCCTTCAGATGCTCTGGCTGCACCAGGCCAACAATGTTCATGGCGGGGCCACCGCTAAGCCACGGAGGGCCAGCGTTTCCCTCAAGACGGGCTCTGGACTGAAGCCCTCAAGTGGCAGCAGCTCCCCTTGGAAAACCCCCAGAGAAATTCCCTTCCTGGGCTTGGGAAACCGTCGCTCCTGTTCTTGAGAGGTTTGTTCCTCTTGAGGCGGACTGAGAGTCCCAGATCAGATCCCGAAAGTAGCTCTGGACGTGCTTCTCCTTCCCATGGCCCTGCCCTTCTGGGGTGGGACCTTCCCAGCAGTGACAAATTGGTCCCGAGGGGGGCTGAGCCTGAGAAGGCTCCATCCAGGCATCCTTGCCTGGTTCACAGCTGGCAGGAAGCCCCCTCGGCTTCTCCAGAGACACAACCTGCCTCTTGCGGGGGAGCTGGGAAGGGTCTTCCTCAGGGAGAAGAGCCGGGTGGGGCCAGGACGGGGGTCTTCCCAGGGGAGCCGAGGGGCTTGTGAAGCTGGACTCGGAGGCTCAGAAGGCCTTCATGGAGGATGTGTGTTAAAGGCACCAGAGAAGGAAGGAAAGAAGGGAGAACTCACGGGAGGGACTTAATTTACCAACTGTGCATGAGGAGAGACAGGGGAAATGATCTCGCAAGGTAAGCTCCACATATTTAACAAAAGTTTCAGTTCTGCACATTTACTGAAGTGGTGTGTGTGTGTGTGTGTGTGTGTGTGCGTGAGAGAGAGAGAGAGAGAAAGAGAGAGAGAGAGAGAGAGAGAGAGAGAAAGAAAGAAAGAAAGAAAGAAAGAAAGAAAGAAAGAAAGAAAGAAAGAAAGAAAGAAAAGAAAGAAGGAAAGATTTTACAGAATAACAGAGTTGGAAGGGACCTTGGAGGTCATCTAAGCCAACCCCCTGCTTGGGCAGGAGACCCCTAGACCATTTCAACAAATGGCTGCCCAATCTCTTCTTGAGAACTTCCAGTGATGGAGCACCCACAACTTCTGGAAGGCAAACCGTTCCACTGGTTAATTGTCCTCACTGTTAGGAAATTCCTCCTTAGTTCTAAGAGGTTGCTTCTCTCCTTGGTTAGTTTCCATCCATCGCTCCTTGACCAGCCTTCAGGGACTTTGGAGAATTAGGTAGGAACCACCACCCCCCCCTCTTCTTTGGGGCAGCCCCTCAAATACTGCTATCATGTCACCCCTAATCCTTTTCATTAAACTAGACATACCCAATTCCAGCCACCATTCTTTATAGGATTAGTCCCTTAACCATCTTCGTTGCTTTAATTCAAAGTTGTCTAGGAAGGACCAGCTGTGGCCAGCATCCCTGCTTTGAAAACATTTTTAAATGAGTGGCCTCCCCAAATTCAGCTGGCTCCAGCTGTCTTGGACTCCATCTCCTGAGATCGTCAACCAGACCCTGCACTGGAACCCCTGGGAGGGTCGTCCGGGCGGGGGACACAGACTTGGGGAAGGTCACTGTAACCTTGGACCCTGTCTGGAATGGAGGGGGAGCTGGGGGAGGGGGGCTGTCTGGGACTCGCTGCCTGACTTGGGCAGCCCCCAAACCTTTGGCCACTAATGTGGGCCTTTGCTGCCTGTTCTTAAGAAACGTGGAAGCCCCACTGAGGCCTGACACCCCAGCACAGGGCTGGAGGGTAAGAAGGGCCCTCTTGGCTCCTCCGAAGCCCCGTCAGCCCGGGCTGTGGGAGTTTGTTTGGGGGAGGGTGCAAGGTGTGATCACAAAGCTGCTTTTTAAATTTCAAGTCATTCTGCATTTAATGAAATCACAGAGTAGGAAGGGACCTTGGAGGCCAACCCCCTACTCAGGCAGGAGACCCTGCCTGGACCATTCCTGACAAATGGTTGTTAAGTCTCTTCTTGAAAACCTCCAGCGATGGAGCAGCCCAACTCCTGCAGACAAGTCATTTCACCGGTTAATTGTTCTCACTGTCAGGAAATTCCTCCTTAGTTCCAGGTTGCTTCTCCCCTTGATTACTTGCCATCCGTTGCTTCTTGTCCTGCCTTAAAGTCCTTTGGAGAATAGGTGGAGCCCCCTCTTTTTGGGGTCAGCCCCTCAGATATTGGAAGAATGACTGCCATCATTCTGCAGCTGCCTTTCCTTTTGCTCCATGTTTGCATTCGTTGATGCTTGCTTGCAACTCCCTTCCCTGCGGCTGGTTGATAACGGAAAGCAAACTGAGGCTGGAACTGCACAACTCTCCGTGCCGGTGGGGGAGGGGCCGATGTGGGCCGGTGGTGGCTTAGCGTGGCTCTTCCCACGCCCACCTCATCGGCCTATTGAGAGTCCAAGGTGGGAATCCCTAAATCCCTCCGTTCCTCAGAGAGTTCCAGGAAGGTGCACAGTTCTTCCTTTCCCACTTTTCCTTTCAACGACAACCCTGTGGGGTAGGTTGTGCTGCGAGAGGATGACCCAGAGAGTTTCCATGGCTGAGGGAGGAACCGAACGGGGGTCTCTTTAATCCTCCATCCAGCCCCTCCACCACCACAACCCTTAGGATACAGGTAGTCCTCTACTTACAGCAGTCCATTTCATGACTCTTCAAAGGGCAGTGAAAAAAGTGACTTATGATCATTTTTCACACTTATGATCATTGCAGCATCCCCACAGTCACGAGATCAAAAGTCAGAGGCTTGGCAACCGACTCACATTTATGACGGTTGCAATGTCCAAGGCTCACGTGATTCCCCCCTTGCGACCTTCTGACATGGGCTTGGGAGGCCCACGGTGGCTTAGCAATTCAAACCATGGCTTAGCTGGTCGGTAGATTGCCCAGGGCCTTGCCTCCCCCTTCCTGGCCCCCTTGCTGCTGCTGTCCCTCACCCCAAGAGCCCCTCCCCCGGGGTCCTCTGCAGGGGCGGGCGCTCTTTTTGGGGGAGTGAGAAGAAGCAGCCTGCCTGCCTCCTTGAGGTTACCAACTCTGCCTTCTTTCCTTTCTGCAGACCTGAGCACGGGGCCTCCGGATGCCACCCTGGCAATGCCCTTCACGAACGAAAGCCTGGGCAGCCCCTCCTCCTTCATCTTGAGGGGCTTGCCTGGCCTGGAAGCTGCCCACTTCTGGCTGGCATTCCCCCTGTGTGCCATGTACGTGGTGGCCCTGGTGGGCAACTCCATCGTGGTTCTGGTCATTAAAGCCGAGCCGGCCCTCCACACGCCCATGTACTTCTTCCTGGGCATGCTGGCAGGGGTCGACCTGGCCCTGGCCTCCTGCACGATGCCCAGGGTCCTTTCTCTCTTTTGGTTAGATGCCAAGGAGATCGCCTCCAGGACCTGCCTTCTCCAGATGTTCTTCATCCATTCCCTCTCGGGCATGGAGTCCACCATCCTCTTGGCCATGGCCGTGGATCGCTATGTGGCCATCTGCCGCCCGCTTCAGTACTCCACCATCCTCACCAACTCTGTGACAGTCAAAGTGGGCATCGTGGCTTTGGTGAGAGGAGTGGCCTTCTTCCTTCCTCTGCCCTTGCTCCTCAACCGCCTGTCCTTCTGCGACAGGGGCCTCCAGCATTCCTACTGCCTCCACCAAGATATGATGAACCTGGCATGTGACAAACACAACCTGAACATGAACATCGTCTACGGTCTGATCGCCATCAGCCTGGTGATGGGCCTGGACTTCCTGCTCATCCTTGTCTCCTACCTGTTGATCCTGAAGGCCGTCCTGGGGCTGAGCTCCTGGGAGCAACGCCTCCGGGCCTCTGGCACCTGCCTGGCCCACCTCTGCATGGTCCTGGCTTTCTACGTGCCCCTGATTAGCCTCTCCGTCATCCACCGGTACAGGAAAGATGCGTCTCCTCTGCTCCAGGCCATCCTGAGCAACATCTACCTCCTAGTTCCACCCGTGCTCAACCCCATTGTCTATGGGGCTAGGACTAAAGACATCCGGAAACGGGCCTTAAAGTACATGAGGCTCAGCAGGAACAGGGAGCCTCACTGAAGCCGGCTGGGTGTAGAAAACCAAGCCGGAAGTTGCTCTCTTCATCCCAGGAGGAGGCCGAGGGAGACAGGCCACATCTGAAGTCCACGGAGTCCCAAGACAACTGCCATCTTCTGCAGCCTTCCTGTTGCAATGGCCAACATCCTAATCTTTGACCTGCCTGCTGAGGCTGAAACTCCCCTGCCGCCCCAATCCCCAGACTGTGCAAACTGACCCCAGGATGGACATTACAAACCCTTCTTCTGCGCCTTTGCTGACCCATGGACTCCACAGGTTCTTCTGGGATGCCTGTATGTCCCTGTCCCCCATTATCAGAGGAATCCCCCCATCACTTCAGAAGAATCTCCCCAAGGGAGCAACGGATAATTCTCCAACCTCTCTATAAAACGAGCTTCTCATGGATGATGATGATGATGGAGATGATGGAGAAGGAGGAGGAGAAGTGCTTCAGAACTTATCAAACCTGAGAGGTCCACTGGCCTCTGCTGAACCTTCTGTCTCTTGCTTGAGGTCCATGCATCATGAAGGATTGAGAAATGCTGGTCAAGGAAAAATGTTGGTCAAAAAGGGGCCTCCATGAGGGGCCGGCAGGGAGCAGCTTGGAAGAGTGACCTTCTGCCTCTTTTCTAAGGACAGTTTCCTCCTAGACTGCATAATACCTTGAAGGCTGCAGGAATTCCAGAACTGAATTCCAGAACTTCCTAAACTGAGGCTCTCCTTAACCAAGTGAAGGCCACGCAGAAATGTTTTATGTTCACCTTCGAATAAACTTGCTCCTTGCAGTTGGTCTCTGTTCAGCTCTGCCTTCCTGCAGTTGAAGCCCACTCACATCGTTAGAAGGGTGTCTCTCCTGTCTAGCACGGTGGGGGACTGAGGTACCTCACAGCTCCCAGGAAGAACACACGTGTGTGTGTGTGTGTGTGTGTGTGTGTGTGTGTGTGTGTGTGATTAGAATGATTAACCACTGGAACGACTTGCCTCCAGAAGAGGTGGGTGCTCCATCACTGGCGGTTCTAAGAAAAGATTGGAAAACCGTTTATCTGAAATAGTATCGGGTTTCCTGCTTAAGCAGAGGGTTGGACTAGACGACCTCTGAGGTCCCTTCCAACTCTGGTGTTCTGCCCCAATCCCACCCTTCAAGCCTTCCAGAGTGGGGGTCCCGGGGGTGCTGTCATCATCTCACCTGGCCTCCATACAGTCCCATTCCTCGCACAAGGGGTGCTTGTCTGCTTTCCAATTCTCATTTCTGAGTATTTCAAAGTAAAGTAAGATAAAGAGGCTTACGACCCATCCATCCCTCCATCTGCCCATTAGGATAACCTCAGCAAAACAGGACCCGTTTTTGTGGCAGGAAAAACTGGCTAAAGAAAGAACTGGGCTTTTGCTGGTTGGGGGCCACCAAGGTAAAGAATCCCCCCCCCCATTCCAGGCATTGGTCAGGCACAGTGGAGGAGCAATTGAGCAGCAGCTGCGTAGCCTGTTCTAAGCCCCCCTCCCTGTCCATGCAATGCTGAGTGGCTCAGGTGCAGCTTACTTGGAGCTCTGCCACACACACAAAGACCCATAAGCACATGGAGGAAAAGGCTGGGGAGACCTCCAGGGGGAAAGGTCTCCACCTGTTCCCCAACAGACCTACTTCCGTGGCTGCCTGCCAGCCTGCCTGCGTATAGCAGGGGTCTCCAAACTTGGCCAACTTTTAAGACTTGTGGTCTTAAAGGGGATCTAGTTGGCTGGGGAATTCTGAAAGTTGAAGTCCACAAGTCTTAAAAGTTGCCAAGTTTGGAGACCTCCGGTTTATAGCAATGGTATAGCTGCCCATCTTAAAACCAACACTGGGAGGTGTACCTCCAATACAGCATAGAACACAGAACATAGAATAATAGAGCTGGAAGGGACCTTGGAGGTCTTCTAGTCCAACCCTCCAAGGCCTCTGGTGGGCAGTCATTCTTCGGAGATGGCCCAGCTCCACAGACCCCTCCCCCCCACAGGGCAGAGCTCCCAGAGGGGTTGCTCCACCACCTGATGGTGCCCTGGCTCTAGAAAGCCCGAAGTGGGCTGGTCTTTGGAGCAGGGGAGTTTTGGGGGGGAAGGCTCACTCAACCCCACTCCCAGAAGGCTTCCTCAACCAAAACCTCTTCATTTCTGTGAGGGAGAAGTAGGAAGACTAAGAGAGACTTTAGGAAGGTTTCCATGAATGGAAATCCTGACGGGAAAAGCAAGAAAATAAAATAACAGAGTTGGGAGTAACTTTGGGGGTCTTCTAGTCCAACCCTCTGTCCAAGCAGGTGACTCCATACTCGTCCAGACAAGTGTCTGCCTAATCTCTTCTTCAAAGCCTCCAGTGATGGAGCCCCCACAACTTCTGGAGGGAAGCCATTCCGCTGGTTAATTGTCCTCACTGTCAGGAAATTCTTCCTTTGTCCTAGTTGCCCCTCTCCTTGCTTAGTTTCCATCCATTGCTTCTTCACAATGTGTGAAGATTATGCACCTAATAAAGGACAGAATCACACCGTCAAGGGATGCCCCAAGTTGGTCTCCATCAGTAGAGAAAGGCCGTGGATACCCACTTCTGGGTGGGTGGGGAGAAGGCAGAGCTCCTCAATTCCTATTGGCTTGGCCCTCTTCCCACCTGGATCCTAGGTTCAGATGATCCGAGACAATCATGGTCTCAAGGGGGAGAATGAGCACATGGACAGTGGACTCCCCTGGAGGAGCTCAAGGACACTTGCATCTCCTACCTTGCCAGCTGCCCTTGAAGGAACAGCCTTCCTCTCATCCCAGGCCGTGGCTGAAGCCAGCTCAGCTCACCTATTGCTCAAGTGGGAAAAGAGTTAACTTGCAGCTCTCGGCTCCACGCTCGGGGTTCCCAACCTTTTCTATCTCCCGCACCCCTAGAACGCTTCTATTCTCGCACCCCTTTAAAAAATAAATAATTATATGCATATACTGGTAATTATACACATACACTATAATTTTGAAACTTCTAAACCCAAGTTTTCGCAAACCTGGAATATCATTTTGCACCCCCAGTTGGGAACCCCTGGCCTAGGACAACTCGCTGCAGGACAAGAGGTACACTACTATCGGAGAAATGGTGGAATAGATTCATTGAAGAAAGGATGTCAAAGGAGGGGCAGAATGAAATGTGAACGATGAAAATTAAAATATGAGTTAGTGAGTTAATATGACGAGTGAGTTAAAAAATGAGGAGAATTCTAAATATTATGAAGTATGGGGAAATTGGTATAACTGGTTGAAGAATAAAATAAAAGTATGAGCATAGGATAGGACTTGCTATACATTTGAATTGGATTTAATCGTATAGAACACTGTATAGTTAAAGATGAACTTATTCAACGTACGATGTACCAAATTGTATAAACACTGTACCTCTGATCAAGAAAGAGATTGTATACTATTTTTATATTTTGGAAAAAATCAATAAAGTATTTAAAAAAAAAATTAAAATATATTTTAAATCATTTTAAATAATTAAATTGAATTGTTGAATTGTCCCGTGGCAAGTTGGGCATGGCAAGTTGCCCCATTCCTGTAGGAAAATTGTGTTTTCTGTCTTCCCTTCCTAGTTGCTCAACTTCAGCCGGCAGCAGCCAAGCCAGCGAAGGGGTTGGGACGCCCCCTTTCCTCTCCAGTCCCCTGTTGTCCTCCCCATGAAGCTCACCAGGCCAGGGAATCCACTCCGCAGCAAGGCTAAAACTACTTTGATTGAGATGGGCTGCAACAATTTAACTGTTCCTCTCCTCCTCCTCCTCCTCCCACCCTCATTGCTCCGTGAATCAGGGAGGTCTCTGTCTGAGCTGCTTCCAGACGTCGCCTCTTTGCTTCCTCTCCCTTTACCTAGACACGGGGATTGAATCCCAGGCCTGAGAGTAACGCTCCGCTCCGTGCAAGAAGAAAAGGTGGTGCAAAAAAACATCCAGGCTGCCATCTGGATTGTTTGTGTCTCCTTTTGCTGTCCCTCCTTTTGCAACAACGGCGGCAAAGTAAAGAAAACGGTAACCCTAAAGAGAGAATCCGTCCCCTGAGGCACCAAACCATAAAGCAGTTCTTCCACCCCACCCCCATTTTATTTATTTATTTGTAAGATTTATTAGCCACCCACCTTACCACACAATAACTCTGGGCAGCTTATTATATAAAAGATAAAATGGCACAAAACCTAATAATATAAATACAATGCTATAAGAATATCAAGCTAGCTAAATGGGTGGGGAGGAAGGGAGTATGGTGAGAAGGGGGAGATGGGGGTCTGTTCTTAATCTATCAGCCATCCCCAACATGAAAGGCCTCCGTTGGGGCCCCAAGGGCTTCTAGCTCTTGCAGAAGGTAGGAGCTGACCTCACTCAGGGGCTGGGGGGCAAGAGGTTTAGAGGGCAGGTGCAATTTTACTCCAAGACTCCAGTGGAGACGTTGTACACCTGGGCATTGTGTGCAGCCAGAACTCCCCAGAGAGGCCTTGCCTGGCCAGCATCTCCATTCGGTCCCTTTGCTACCTGGTGGCACCTGAGCTATATATCCCAGCAGATTCTGCGTCAGGTGCTGTGCTTCTTTGGAGGCTGTTGAGAGGCCCATCGCTGATCCGGTCAGCCAGACCTTAGCAGTCTTGCAGGTGTGTCCGTGTTGTGGCTCAGAATGGTTCCGTGGGAGTGTGCATGTATGTGTGCATGAGAGTGAAGTCTCAGTGTTGCCTCTTTAAGCACAGGAAAAAGTATGTGGATGAAGATAGTTTATTTATTTTTAAATGTTGTATGCTGCCCAGCTCTCCACTAAGTGTCTCTGGCTGGCTTGCAATACCATAAATAACAGAATAAAACAATTGCAGGATTAGAACATTAAAGCATCCAACATTAAAAATTAAGACATAAAATCAATATTAAAATGGATAAAAGGAACCAATGCATACACAGGGTGGAGGTAAGTCACTTTTAAGTTTGAGGCTCTTCTTTGCCTCTGATTATATGCTAAACCGCTTGCTTAACAAAGGTGTACAGAGGCCCACCTTAAAATACATCGTGTGTAGATCTTTAGCAAAGGATGTCAGATGAACCCAGTGGGTGCACACCTGAATGGGAAACCATAGTTAACCATAGTTAGACTAGCATTGGTGATGTTACCTAGTTTGGGTGATGAAACATCTGCAAGAAAACCACCAAACTCAAAAATCACCAAGGACCCCTCATAGTTAATCTAGTTAACCATACTTAACTAGGACAGTCAACCAAAGGAAAGAAGTTGCCTTCATCAGTGGAAGCTTTCAAGAAGAGGCTGGGCTGCCATCTATCAGAAATGGTATAGGATCTCCTGCTTGAGCAGGGGTTGGACTAGATGACCTACAAGGTCCCTTCCAACTCTGTTAGTATTCTCTTCTCTTCTCTTCTCTTCTCTTCTCTTCTCTTCTCTTCTCTTCTTAACCTTGAAGTAACTCCATAATGTGCAGACTTCTGAGCTTGGCAAGTCAACATTGTCAAAAGGGATGAAACTGGAGGAGAGAGCTAATGTAGAACCTAGAATAATAGGTTTGGAAGGGACCTTGGAGGTCTTCTAGTCCAGCTCCCTGCCTGTGACAAGAGATCCTATATCATTTCAGACTTTCTTTGGGCTTGATGGGATGGATACACAGGATCACAGAAAGAATAACAGAATAACAAAACAGAAGAATAGAGTTGGAAGTGATCCTGGAGGTTTGTGAGTCCAACCTCCCACCCAAGACGGAGACCCCAAACCATTTCAGCAAATGGCTATTAAATCTCTTCTCAAAAACCTTTTAAAAATACATGGAAGGCTCTGGAATAGGAATTGTGGATTGGCTGGCTGAAACCCCAAACAGGAGCTTCCATGGGACAAGGGGTGGTGAGACCACTGATAGCTTGTGACACTTCAATCCACCTATAGCAGCTGAGCTCTGCTCCCTTCCTGTTTCCTTTTCTTCTCTTGCAGTTCTTCTCTTGCACCCCGAGAATGCAACGTGGCCAGGATGACTCTTTCCTCCTCCTGAAGGGAAGAGCAAGGCCTGGGAGCGAGGGGAAACCCATCTTCTAAAATTGGAGCCTCAGCTGAGTGCAACAAGGAAATCCCCTCATTGTTCCTAAGGAGAAACTGAGCTACGGAAAGTATGTTGGGGGCTATTCTTAGGCTCTGCCGCACAAAGCACGGAGTGGGATTACTCACGTCCTCCCTTTCTCTGAGAGGAACACCCAGTTCGTCACCCAGAGGCAGGAAACTGACTCTCTAACCAGAAGAAGCCCCAGAAGGTCCCATGACTTAGGAGGAGACATTATCCAAAGAAACTGCAGACCGATTGATGGGGTGGGAAGCAAGGCAACTTTTAGATTCAGCAGATTGTATCAAAATATTTAAGAAGTAAGAAGACCCAGGCAGCTTGGAGAGACAGGCATCTGGTTCATTTAATGTGATTTGCTATGCCAGGAACTACCAACCTCAGTGTCCATGCCCCTTCCACCTCCTTCTTCCTCCTGGGGTTTCTAGGACTGGAAAATGTCCAGACCTGGCTCTCCATTCCCTTCTGCTTCATCTACACCTTGGCTCTCTTGGGCAATGCCACCCTGCTCTGGGTCATCTGGACAGAATCCAGCCTGCACCAGCCCATGTATCTCTTCCTCTCCATCCTGGCACTCACCGACATGGCCATGCCCACCTGTATCCTGCCCAAGATGGTGGGTATCTTCTGGGCCAATGCCCAAGAGATCACCTTCGCTGCCTGCCTGGTGCAGATGTTCATGGTCCATGCCATCTCTGCTGTGGAATCTGGGACGCTCACCGCCATGGCCTATGACCGATACGTGGCCATCTGCGACCCGCTCAGCTACACAACTCTGCTGACCCCAAAGACGGTGGTCAAATTTGGAGCAGCCATTGTTATCCGGGCCTTTGTAATCGTCTTGCCCATTCCTTTACTTTTGCTGAGGTTGAGATTTTGTCACTCCCGAAATATCTCTCATACTTATTGTGAGCACATGGCTCTAGTAAAACTAGCGTGTGGGAACACCACTCCCAACAACCTCTATGGGCTGATTGTGTCCCTCCTCATTACCGGTGGAGACCTGACCTTCATCTTCATCTCCTATGGACTGATCCTACGGACCGTGTTCCACCTGCCTTCCTTGGAGGCTCGGCACAAAGCCCTGGGCACTTGTGGGGCCCACGTGGGAGTCATCGTCATTCTGTACACCCCTGGACTCTTCTCCTTTCTTTCTCACCGCTTTGGGCATAACATCCCCCACACTGTCCACATCGTCCTGGCTAACGTCTACTTGCTGGTCCCTTCCATGCTCAACCCCATGGTTTATGGTGCCAAGACCAAGGAGATCCGTATGCGGGTGTTGATGGCTATGGGGATGCAAAGTAGGAAAATTTAGGTCCGAGGCAGAGTCCAAGCCAACTCATAGTAGTGCTGTGTGAAATTAACAATCTTTGTGTGTTTAGATCTTTCTGTTCAATGTGGATGCAAATAAATTTATTTCTCCCAAAATATTTTGAAGGAATATTGTCTACTGTTCTATATTCGGACAATCTCTTAATAGGTAGTGGTTTAATTAGGCTGTTGTAGGAGATGACCAGGCTGAACCCGAGGGAAGGAAGGGTCAAGTGTGTCGTAAGTTTGGAGTCCTTTTGAGCCCGCAAGAGATCCAGCCCACCTAGAATTCCATTGACTTATATCCACTGCCTATTTGCTTTGACTGTTAGTAGTTCAGATTCTTGTAGATCCCACCATACATTAAACTTGTATTCATTTCTTCTTATAAAGAAAATTTATACAAAATCTTTTATAGATGGCATTTACCACCTGCTAGAGTAGCTAAAAAGTTTTAAAATGTCTAGCAAATGTTGGAAATTTAATCAAAAGAGAGGCACATATGTGGTGGACTTGTGCTAAAACAAAAACATTTGGGACAAAAATACATAGATGGCTAGAAAAGATAATAGGAAACATGTACATTTTAAACCTGAACTGTTTTTATTAGGGATGATATCAGAAAAATTTGATAAGAAAAGTATGTATTTAGTATTGCATGTTTTAACAGCAGCGAGGATTCTCTTCACACAATATTGGAAAGGTGAAGAAACACTCCAAGATGAAGAGATAATTAAGAAGATATTAGACTGTGCAGAAATGGACAGACTTACATTGAAAATCAAGCAGAAAGAAGACCCAGAATATTATCAAACTTGGAACTTATTTTACCAGTGGTTGGAAAAAAGGGGGCAAGAGTAAGAAGGGAATTTGAATTGTTAAGCAAATTAAATATCCAAGCAACACGATGCTTGTTAGGCACTAAGGAATGTAATTAATAGAAAATTAATAAAATTTATTTTTAAAAAAACTTGTATTCATTTGAACTGCCTGCTCTCCTGATTTCTTGCGCCTGACAGTCACGGACTGATCCCTGGAGCCTCTGTTCCTCATACAAATACTTTACCAGATAGCAAAATAGTTAATTCACTTCCTGTTCTGCCAGCAGCACTTCTTGAGGTCCAGAAATGCCTTGAAGGTTCAGCAGTTCAGCTTCACCGTATTAACCATTTCCATGTGAAACCAACTGTTGTGATTCACGGCCTGCTTAGATGTTCTCCTTGACCTCCCTCAGGAAGTCTCCTTGTTGACAGATCCCCTCTGAAGCCACCATGCAGCTCCTTCCCTGGCAGCAGGGATAGCTTGACTCAGAAAACAATTTCTCCTCTAGGCTGAGAAGACCCTCCCTCTTCATCCCCTCTCATGTTGATCCAACCCAGCCTGTCCTGCTGCTCTGAAGCAGAAAGGAACCGGGCTGCCCCTTCCTCTTTTGTGTGTCCATAGCCAACGTTGACCTCCTGATCCCTCCCAAGCTCAACCCCAGGCTCTATGGTGCCAAGGCCCAGGAGAGCCACGTGCGGGTGGTGACGAGGGCTATGGGCTTGAGAAACAACAATTGTAGGCCAAGGCAGAGTTGACAGGGTAGGACAATTAGTCAGTGGAACAGGTTGCCTCCAGAAGTTGTGGGTGCTCCATCTCTGGAGGTTTTTCAGAAGAGACTGGACAATTCATCCCAGATCACACCACCAGACTATACATCAGTGGTGAAATCCATTTTTTTTTACTACCGGTTCTGTGGGCGTGGCTTGGTGGGCGTGGCAGGGGAAGGATACTGCTAAATCCCCATTCCCTCCCCACTCCTGGGGTAATGATATTGCAAAATCCCCATTCCCACCCCACTCTGGGGCCAGCCAGAGGTGGCATTTACCGGTTCTCTGAACTACTCAAAATTTCTGCTACCAGTTCTCCAGAACCTCTCAGAAGCTGCTGGATTTCACCCCTGCTATACATCCAAGAACCTCAGCCTGCTCTGTGGTATCAGAGTCCATGGTAAAGTGGATCTGAGCAAAGTTATCCACCAGGTAGCCTGAATAATCTTCACAATACCCCAGCAGATATTCCCAGAGACCTTCCTACCCAATGAGGAACAGGTCACCCTAAACAGGGCCAATGGGCAGCTGATGTCAGGAAACTGCTAGCTAGGCTGGAAGGAGGGGTCAAGTGAGGACCCAGCTTGGAGTCTTTGCACAGCCCCAAGCAGCATAAGCTTGACTTCCCCCCCCCAAGATCCATGAATCCTTATCTGCTCATTTCCAGGGGAAGGCAAGAAGTCTGGGTAGATTCCTCCCTTTCTCAAGATCTGAATAAACGTGTGACTCAGAGAGAATTGGACTCCGGCTCTTTGTTCGTGTTGGGCCAGACCTAGAACTCCTGCTTAGCAAGACCCAGCTAATAGCAACAGAGCCAGGGACTGCCTGGAGGCCCCTCCCCTCCCCTCCCATTTTCTTTCTGCTTCCTATTGGCCCCGGGGCCAACTTCAGAACCGCCACCTCCCTGCCAGCCTGCCGTGAACTCTGGGAGGAAGCTGGGAGGGCAGGCGAGGGCCTGGGGGGAAGTGAAACGTACTTCTCTGTGAGAACCAACAAAGTCTTCAAGGCCATTTCCCTGGGAGAAGAATGCCAACACGTAGAGTGACTGTTACCAAAACATCTCTTTTAAATTTGATTGGACAATGAGAGACAAACAATGGGAAGGGACCAAGGGAGGAAAGTTAACTGGCAAAAGTCTGGCACAAACTTTCAGTTCTGGCTCTACGTTACTGTGATTCACTTGACTTCTAGTAAACTATACCTTTCTCAACAAATGGAGTTAAGGATCGTTTTTACTTAGAAGTCAGGAGTGAAATCCAGCAGGTTCTGACAGGTTCTGGAGAACCGGTAGTGGAAATTTTGAGTAGTTCAGAGAACTGGCAAATACCATCTCTGGCTGGCCCCAGAGTGGGGTGGGAATGGAGATTTTGCAGTATCCTTCCCCTGGAGTGGGGTGGGAATGGAGATTTTGCAGTATCCTTCCCCTGGGGTGGGGTGGGAATGGAGATTTTGCAATATCCTTCCTCTGCCACACCCACCAAGCCATGCCCACAGAAGCAGTAGTAAAAAAAAATTGGATTTCACCACTGTTAGAAGTCCAAGTTGAGGCAGATCTGACAGCCAGGCTCAGAGGGGAAATGGATGAAGCAACCAAATCAGTCCCAGTAGAGGAAACTTTTCTCCTTACTTTGGCCAGTTGCAGTGATGATGAGAACAAGGCCTGGGATTCTCACAGGTCCTACAAGGTAGGGAAGATGGAGGTGCTCTTCCTTATGAATGTGAAGATGTGGAGAAGAAAGTATCCGGATTTATATGTTGCATATAGATACGAGCTTCTGAATAAGCAGTTCCTTTACAAGGCTGCCTTTCGTAACAGCTGCTGGTGATGGAAGAGGTGGAGAGCTCTCTCTCGGATCTGCTTTGTCTGCACCCCATAGATAATAGGGTTCATCATTGGTGGGAAGAGCAGGTAGAAATTAGCCAAGAGAATGTGGATGTAGGCAGGAACATGGTGGCCAAACCTGTGTATGACAGAGGAGAGAACCACAGGAACGTAGAAGACCAAGATGGCGCAGACATGAGACAGGCAGGTGCCAAAGGCTTTGTGCTGTTCCTCCTTGGTAGCCAAGCTCAAGACAGCTCGGAGGATCTTGGCATAGGACAGCACGATGAAGCCCAAGTCAAAGCCAACAATCAGGAGAGCCACGAAGATCCCGTAGACATTATTGAAGCGGGTGTTGGAACAGGCCAGCCTCACCACGGCCATGTGCTCGCAGTAGCAGTGGGCAATGAGGAAGGAGTGGCAGTAGGACAGTCTCCGGAGCAGGAACGGCAGCGGCAGCATCAGGGCCACCGCTCTCATCAAAGCCACCAGCCCTGCTTTGACCACCAGCGAATGAGTCAGGATGCTGTGGTACCTCAGAGGGTGGCAAATGGCCACGTAGCGGTCAAAGGACATGGCCAAGAGCACTGCAGACTCCATGATGGAAAAGGAGTGGAGGAAAAACATCTGCACCAGGCAGCCAACCAACCCAATCTCCCCGGCGTTGAACCAGAAGATGCCCAGGGTTTTGGGCATGGTGGTGAGGGACAATACCAGATCAATGGAGGACAGCATGGAGAGGAAGAAGAACATGGGTTTGTGGAGACTCAGGTCTGTCTTGATCACATAGAGGAGGGTGCCGTTGCCCAGAAGGGAGATGACAAACATGGAGCAGAAGGGGATGGAGATCCAGTGGTGAGCTTGTTCCAGGCCAGGAATCCCAGACAGGAAGAAAACGAGGGGCTCCAGGCGGGTGTGGTTGCACGCCGATCTATTGTACGGCCCCCTGAAGAGTTGCTTCATTTCAAGATCTTTCTTGCTGGGGTTTTCTTGCTCAGACACCACATAACTGATGGCGGAAGGAGTCCTTGCTGGGGTTGAAGATCTCCTTCCCTTCTGAAATGCTGCCAGCAAAACAGAAAGTTAACCCAACATTCATCTTCTCTGCTGTTCTGTCTTAACTAACCAGCATCCTTCATGAATTTGTTCATAAATTTGATCCACCAAACAGAAATTAGAAGAATTTGGGATTTCAAGCATCCTGTTCTTGCACCCAGTTAGGCAGCCAAGTATTCTCCACGTAGCAAGTTAAAACTCCAGGACTTTTGGAAACAGACAAAAAAAAATCCCCCCCCCCAAAATCTCAAGCAAACAAACAAAACATCCCTGCAACTTTCTTTCTGGATCTTTTATTCTTTTCTGACCTAACCATTTGGCCAAGTGGTTGCGGAGCTAATAAGAACACAGTCCCTGAATTTGAGAGAGGCGCTCTTCCCTTTGCAAATGGGCTTCTCTGCCAACATGATCACCAACATCCGATGACGGATATGACACAAGAAGAAGAAGACGAGGAAGCCCATTTGGAAATATCAATCACCCAGTAATTCAGGCAAAGCAAAAACACGTGTGAGGGAGAAAGTTACACCTTTTTATAGGGTACAGAAACAAATGGTACATACCTTTGGAATATGTGATGTGTCAGAAAGCAAATAATCACACAATAAAGGGCATTGATTACACGTGTGGCTTGAACAATGGATTCTACATAACATTCCACAAGTGACCAATATATTTTAAGAGTATATTATATTATACTTTGTGAGAGGCATGAGCAGTGAGGGAAAGCATTGGCAGCACAGAGCTGTCCCAGAGAAAGATCCAGATGAAGAGACTGCGCAGTTCTCAGTTGAAGGAAGGAAGGAAGGAGGGAGGGAGGGAGGAAGGAAGGAAGGAAGGAAGGAAGGAAGGAAGGAAGGAAGGAAGGAAGGAGGGAGGGAGGGAGGGAGGGAGGGAGGGAGGGAGGGAGAGGTTCGCAGTAGCCACAGCGTAGTCTCCCTCTCTCAGGGTATGTCCGGTAGGTTAGAAGTTTATAGCCTCAGTCTGGCAAGATTCTGTCTACTGATGAGATAGTGGTGGCGCAGAGGTTAGAGTGCATTATTCTGCTGACTGCTGGCTGCCAGCAGTTCAGCAGTTTGAATCTCACCAGGCTCAAGGATGACTCAGCCTTCCATCCTTCCAAGGTTGGTCAAATGAGGACCCAGATGGTTGGGGGCAATAGGCTGACTCTGTAAATCACTTAGAGAGGGCTGGAAAGCATTGTGAAGCGGTATATAAGTCTCAGTGCTCTTGCTCTTGCTACCCATTCAGCTGAGTCCAACTTTTGGTGATTCTCTGGGCCAGGTCTCTCCGCATCTTCCAGTCTTGTTCTATGTTGTGGCTGGTGTCAGCTCTGATGGTGTCCAGGCACTGGGTTCTTCAGGGGCCTGGTTTCCTTTTACTGCTCATTCTTTCAAACATAATTAATTTTTCCAGCGATCTGTCTACTATGAATAAGCAAACAAAGGATTGAATTGATTGGATTTCTCTGTGTTGTCTCTGGGCTTCACAATTTGGCTCAACCTGACTCATAAAGTTCAGGCTCTCCACCAACTCAAAACATCTGGAAAACATGTAATGCAACCTCAGAGGTGGCCCTGGTGGCTTAAGCCATTCTGGTTCTCCTTTCCTTTGGCCCCTGTACCCTGATTTTTAAACTGCCCACTTCGAGGTAGCCTTTTCTCCCCTTTGGGTAATGACTGGTTTTTCTTCAAAATAAGGAGAACAAATTGAGCGCCAGTCTGGTGAAGGTAGAAGACCGGGGCTTGTTTCCCTGCTTCCCTAGCGATTGGGGTTTCCTGGATGATGTGGGGGCAGCCATTGCCTCCTTCACAGGGTGGTGGCTGTGAGGAAAGCTAGGAGGGAATGCTGCCTTAAGCTTCATCTGGAAGATTGACTAAAAAGTGAATCATAAACATTTAACAACCGGCCCTTTCACTGTGCCAAAAAAAAAAACCTTCCCGTGAAGCAAGAAATATATTTACAAAATGCATCCCCTCCCAGGTGATGTACCTGCAGATAATGCTCAACTGCTCTCTTTAACTGAACCCAAACTGAACCTGGACGGACAGCACCACTGGCAGCCCCAGTGCTAAGGCAGAAGAAGGCTTGGTCATCAGGATGCCACCACTGAGGCCAGCTCAAGAGCTGAAGATGTCTCTTTAAATAAAACCTTCCTTACCCCCACCCACCCACCCCCTCCCCCACAGAACTCAGCCAGACTGCAGCAGAGGGAGGCTGAGGAGTCCATCTCCTGCCACAGTGGAACTTCATTTGCTCCCCTGGAGAGACCAAGGGAACCCAGGACTGCCAGCAGATCTCCCTGGGGCCTCCTGTCCCGGGCCCTGCCCACCCCTTGGCCCCTCCAGAGGAAATACCATCTACCCAGTGGGAGCAATCAATGCTGATCATGTCTGAGAGTTGGGTAATATTCCCAGACCTGAAAAAACTTTCCCCAAGTTCCAACGTTGTCCTTGGCCATGGATAGACTTCGTAGTAGCATCAAGGCTCGGTATCTCCAGGCTGTAAAGGTAGGAAAATTACAGGAGCTTTTGAAACCTTTACGGGCAAAGAGAATTCTGAGCGTTTTATGCCAGTTCCTTGCTTCCATGTTTGGAAAACATACTTCCCACCTTTGAACTGTGGCGTCTTTGGTGCTCTCTGAGCTGGGTGGGCTTCTTGCAGATGTTCCATCATTCGCCTAGTTTGGTAATGAAACATCTGCAAGAAAATCACCAAGCTCAGAGACCATCAAGGACCCCAAAGTTTTCCTTCTCCTCCTCCTCCTCCTCTTCCTCCTCCTCCTCTCCACAAACTCCACTCCTTTCTAGCACTGATGATGTTCCCTACTTGGGTAATGAAAGGTCTGCAATAAAACCACCCAAGCTCAGAGAGCTCCAAGGATCCCACATCTCTGTAATGTGCTCCGCATACAGTGGCCCTTGAAGATCACTGGGAAGCTACAACTATAGATAGTCCTCGACTTATGACCACGATTGAGCCCAAATTTTTTGTTGCTAAGCAAAACAGCTGCTAAGTGAGTTTGCCCCATTTTACGACTTTTCTTGCCACGGTTGCTAAGTGAATCATTGCAGTTAAGTTGGCAGCATGGTTGTTAATTGAATGTGGCTTCGCCATTGACTTGGCTTGTCACAAGGTCGTAAAAGGGATCACATGATCCCAGGGCACTGTGACCGTCATAAACATGAGTCAGCTGCCAAGCCTCTGAATTTTGATCATGTGACCAAAGTAGCAATGGTCAAAAGTGTCAAAAACGGTCATAAGTCACTTTTTTCTGTGCCATTGTAACTTTCAATGGTCACTAAATGAACTGTTGTAAGTGGAGGACTGCCTGTAATTAGCTAAGGGGGTGCTTTTTAACCTGCTGACCTTTGCCTGGCCATTCTTGACCAGGGCTTAAGCAAAAGGCCCCCTCCCCTTTGAGGGTTCCAGGAATGGCCCCCATACACAAGTCTTCAGCAATTCTCCTTCACAATTGGCCAGCCAGACTCACCCTCCCGATAACCGAAGTGTTTGCCTCCGGCCTCTTTCAGTGTCCAAGGGGGTCTTAGCGACCAGCTGATCCTAACCACAGCTCCATCAAGCCAAGCATCAGCCAGGGGTTCCAGAAGGACTAGCCCTGCTTGGAGCTAATTCAGGGCTCTCTTGCAAAAGCCCCTTCAAAGCTGACCAATCAATTAACAGACCGGGCCTGTCAGGTGAAGGTGGCCAGTTGATGATTATTTTTCAAATTTCAACTTCAGACAGAATCAAAGTCATGGTCTGTGACATCACGGGCTCCTCCTATCCCCAAGAGGGAGCAACCCACCACTGCCATGGACACATGACCAAGATTTGGACGCTTGGCAACCATCATGTATTTACCATGACTGTAGACTCCAGGGGTCGTGTGACCACCCTTTGTGACCGTTCAGGTGTGCCTCAACCTGGTCTTTCAGGCCTCCCACATGGTAACCCTCCCCACTTCAATTGCTCAGGGGACTGGAGGCTAAAGCCTATGAAGGACAGTTGCAGGAACTGGGGATATCCTAGTTTAGTGAAAAGAAGGACTAGGGGAGACATAATATCAGTGTTCCAATATTTGAGGGGCTGCCACAAAGAAAAGGGGGTCGACTTATTCTTCAAAGCACTTGAAAGCAGGACAAGAAGCAATGGATGGAAGATCATCGAGGAGACAACCAACCTAGAACTAAGGAGAAATTTCTGTAGGGTCTGGTGTAGGGTTTCCTGCCTGAGCAGGGGGTTGGACTAGAAGACCTCCAAGGTCCCTCCCAACTCTTTTATTCTGTTTTCTGTTTCTCTGTTTTCCTGACAGTTAAAATAATTGATCAGTGGGATGGCTTCCCTTCAGAAGTTGTGGGTGCTCCACCACTGGTGGCTTTTAAGAAGAGATTGGACAACCATTTGTCTGAACTGGCACAGGGTTTCCTGGTTGAGGAGAAGGTTGGAGTGGAAGCCCTCCAAGATCTCTTCCAACTCTGCTATTCTGTTATTCTGCTTGAGGGTTCTCACCGTCATCTTCTCTTCCCTTCCACCTTTGCAAGATTACTGACTTCTCCAGGAAGTTTGGTCTGTGTTGATTGACTGATTAAGCACCATCAAATCCACATGGACTCTTAAGTGATCACTGGGGTACATTTTCTTCTGGATGATTTGTCTCCAATCTGGTTCTTCAGGTCTTCCAACAATGAACCCATCACCACTGTAATCCCATCCACCTCCCTTTGCCAGAGATGGTCTTCTCCTCTTTCTTCTCACCTTTCCCAGCATTATCAACGTCTCCAGAGAGCTGGGTCTTCACACGATGTGCCTCAAAGTATGATCATTTGAGGCTGGTCCTTTGTGACCTGGGAGGTCATCTCATCTGAGTAAAATCAGACCACTTGGTGATTCTACTGGTTGTGTTTGCTTTTGGCTCCTTACCGTATGTATGTAATGCGTAGGTCTGTGGCAGTATTTCTCAACCTTGGCAACTTCAAGATATGTGGACTTCAATTCCGAGAATTCCCCAAGCAGCCAT